GCCCTGACCCAGGCTGCCCCAAATGGAGGCACGTCAGGGACAGAATAGAATCCATCTGTTTTTTCTGAAGTCAGAACACAGCCTCCAGGATCTTTCTAGAACCTCACTGCTCTCTAGAATTCCTCCTCCACCACTGGCCATTTGTGGCTCCCTGATGACCCTTCCCCTGGCTGTCCCATCCCCACTCCCCTCACTGGCACCCTCCACTTCCTGGCTCCTGAGGCCTCCTCCCTGCAGCAAATGCTAGGATCCTGCTCTGTCCCTCACTGGTCCCTCCCTCCTGTAGTCACCCTTCCCCTCTGGCTCTTCCTCCTCCTCCTAATATGCTAGAGTATTTCCCACTTTTAAAGAAGCAGAGAACAGCACACCTGCAATCCCAGAGACCCTCAAGGCTGAGGCAAGAGGATCACGAGTTCAAGGCCAGCCTGAGCAACTTAGCCAGACTCCGCCTCAAAATAAAATAAAAAGGGCTGGGGACGTAACTCAGTGGTAGAGCACTCCTGGGTTCAATTCCTGGTAGAACAAAGGGAAAAAAAAAGTGCCAACAAAAGCACAACTGGTCTCATTCAGGCTCATGGCTCTCGGGCTACTGCCAAGTCCCTCTCCTGATGGTCTTGTCTAACTTCCAAAGAGTTGTCACATTCACTGTGTCAGCTTCTCCACCTTCCGTGTGGCGGCAGCTTTCTGTCCCCAGTGCACAGAGATGCTCTCACAGACCTCCTGGCAGAGTCCCTGCTGGTCACATCCAGCCAGCGTCCCTGGTCCTGTCCCACCTCCATCTCTGCTGAGCTGACCCTCTAACCCCTCTGTGCTCTCCTGTCCTCCCCAACGTCCTTGCTCTGTGCCCATCTCTGCCGTCCCTGGCTCTGGTTCTCTCCTGCAGCCTCCATTGCTGTGGGTCGAGGACATTTCCAACCCAGTCCCTCCTCTGTGGAGCCTCAGACCAGCTGCTCTCTGGATGGTTCCATCCAGGTCTCCCAGAGGAGACACAAACCATACTGCCCAAACCAGGACTCAGTGTCTCTCCTGGCCTCTGGCACCTGCTCCATGTTCACCATCTCAGCAGGGAGTGGTACCCCAGCACCCCAGACTCAGCCTAGATCTCCGGCTGTCCTCATCCAGTCAGTCTGTCATTCCAGCCGGCTTCCCTCCCAAACCTTTCTCAGGTGTATTCCACACGGAACTGCCAAGCCCCGGAATCACACTTAGCCCCTCTCTTCACCCTCCTGCCTTGTCCACCCAAGTCCGTCCATCTGCTGCTGCCCTGGGTTTTGTTAACTGCAATTTTGCTAATGCCAGTGTGTATTGATTATTTGACGGGGCCAGAGTATTAAGTGGTCATATTAATTTATTAAATACTGAAATGAGATAGGAATTATCTACATTTTTGCAGTTAAAGAAACTGGGGCTCAGAGAAGTTCAGTGATGAGCCTTTCGTCACACAGGTACTGGATTTGAGCCTCATGCCTCTGTGTATGTACCTGTGATATGGTGCCATGAGCACGTGGACCTCAGACCTTCTGTGATAGCCTGAGCCTTGGAAGTCAGAGTCCAGGAGGTCACCCGAGGCCACCCAGGGGTTCCCCTGAGGTTTATGGCTGGACTGCATCCTCTGATGGTGGGGAAGGGTGCATGTGCGTGATGAGGAGGGCAGTGGCCGCCCCTTATCCTCAAGTGTGTTCTATCCTTTCTATCCTGCCTGTATCTGGTGGCACATCTTGGTCTGATTATTTCTTTTCTGGGTCCAGCCAGGCCAGAGGCTGGCCCAAGGGTCTCTAAGTTTCAGTCCTTAGAGTCTGTCCCAGCCTCTGCTCCCCTAGGCAGTCCTTCCAGAGTCTCACTGAGCGTCTGCAGGAAACACAGGTCAATGGTGTCCTCCCTCTCTGCCAGAGCTCCTTGGGCTATAGAATAAGCCGGGACTCTGCAGAGCCTTCCAGGACCCTCAGGCAGCCCCCACCTCCCAGCCCCGAGACTCACGGGTGTGTTTGTTCCTCCACGTGTGTGCCCAGGCTGAGCCTTGGCTAGGGTGTCCTACCTCATTCCCCCCTCCCCCCCCGTTTCCTTCCAGGCCCAGCAGGGTGTCGCTGGTCACTGCAGCATCTCCAGGTTTCCTTATCAGACAGCAGCAGGGGCTCACTGGGCGCCCGTCTCTTCAGCGGAGTGGCTCGCCCAGCCTGGTTGACAGTGCGCGTCCCCTCGCCCCACATGTTCATTAGTCCTGCCTGATGTTGTAGTGGGTGCTGGTTTCACCTGGGGTGACGGTGAATGTTCATCATTCTGCCTGGAGGGACAGTGACCAGCCAGCCCTTCGCCCTGCCTCACAGGGAGCACTCACCGCCCTGATGGTGTGACAGAGAGCACCATTAGAAACAGGGTTTGTGGGTGACAGCTGGAGGAGGGCCAGGTCCTGTCGAGTTTGAGCCTCCTGCTCTAGAGACACATCTCCTCCCTGTGACAGGCATCTGTGTCACCTGGGGCTGTCTCATAGAGATGGAGAGCTGGCCTGCCACAACTGTACGGCTGTGCGTGTGCATGTCCTCAACAGGGCCCTTCCCTTGCCCTCCTGTCTCCATCGTCTCTCAGGGACAGTGCTCTGCCCAGGCCCCTGGGGAGCAAGGTGGACACGGAGCTCTGGCTCCTGGGGCCGTGTGAGACACTGGGGCAGTGGATTTTGTCCTTGGGGCCGACACTCTTTACTGGGCCAGTCCTAGCTTTGTTTCCTCTCCTCCTGAAACCTGAGTCCCTTCTGTCACCTTACTTCATTCCTATGGTGCCAGTCACCATGGAACGTCTGTAGTCATAGCTTTAATGGAAGGGGTAGACAAAGGTCACTTATCTTGGGTCACCCTGTTCCCTGAGCTGTGAATGAGGCCAAGGGTAGCAATGCAGGGCCTCAAGGAGTGAGGACAAAACCCTGGTCACCACAGTCCACTGGCTCGTTCAGTCCTTTAGGTCAGGGGCTGGCTGTTCTGACGGCGAGAGAAACACTTTAGTGCTGGTGGAGTGTGGGGCAAACAGGGTCTGTGACTTGTGTCCTGGGGCCAGGTGCTAAGGGGTGTCTATGATAAACCCAAGGCTCTGTCCACGTATGTGTTGGAATTTCTGATTCTCATTTTTAAAATTGGGGTGTGGATTGCTGAGTAGATCCTGGGCCTGAGTGATTTCCCTGGGGGAGCCCCTCACTGCTGTCCTGTAGGATGTGGTTGTCCATAAGCAACTGTGGCCACTTCCTCTTGGGCAGGTACCTAGGAGATCCTAGGTCTCTAGACCTGTAGTGCCCGAGGGATTGAAGGTGCAGATCTGATAGGGACTCACAGGGAGCTCTGCTTGGTGGGGTGACTTGGCTGGTGTGGAGTGGCTCCAGGTGTCCCTGAGGATGTGGAGGAGCCTGGGCAGCCTGGGAGGCTGGAGGCGGGGATTCTTGTTCTGCAGGAGAGAGGGAGCTCTTGGGGGGACACGGAGGCAGCACTAACCACCTTGACAACTGAAGGGGAGAACTAGGGCTGAGTCCTTATTGCCAAATGAATCTGAACTATAGCCCAGTGGTTTTCAATCCTGTTTGAATATCAAAATCACTTAGGAGTTAATCAAAACAAAACAAAACAAACAAAAAAATGGATCCTCACCGTCTCCTTCCTAGAAGAACCACTTCAGTAAGGGGTCTGAGGTGGGCTCTAGGAATCTGCCATTTCAACCAGTTCCCAGGAGATTCTGGTCTGCAGCAATGGGGAGCGCTGCTTTCTTACCACCGTTTCACATGACGGGTTTCCTCTGGTTAGAGAGATGCACAGCAGATGGGGCCTGTAATTCTCACTGCCCCCAAAGCCTTGAACTCCAGCTTCTTGGCTTTAATTCAGCCACAGAAGATTCCTGCTAGGCCTCGCCAACCCCTTGAGTCTACCAGCTCACTGGGCTGAAGGTCGGGGTGCTGATAACTGTGTAATGGAATCCTCTCACCTTGCTGTGACAAGTGCTCTCACCCCCAAACGTGACTGCGTTCACCCTATGTGGCCGCGTTCTAATCTCCCTTTGGACAGAGAACCCATGCGACTTGGGGGGCTCAGCAAGGAGACTGGGCCCGGTGGAGCTGGGCGGGGGCAGCCGGGCTGAGCTGCCTCCTGTTTGGCCAGGGGGTTGCTAGGTGCTGCTCTGCCTTCTGGGACCTGGGTGGGGACCTCCGTGGCAGGCTGGCTTCCAGATAGAAGGCAGGTTTCTCAGTTCCTGAGTTGGGATTTATTGCTCAACAGAAGGGAGTTGGCACAGTACCCGCCCTGTCCCCAGATAACATCTCGAGGGAACAGCTCTCTGGGTAGAGACTGGGACGTTATTGTACCACTGACCAGCTCCGGCTGTCTACCTTCCTGACCCCTCATTTCAGCAAAGAATTCATAAAATTGTGTGAAATCACAGAGCCTTGCACAGGGAGGGTGACATTAGGTGGAGGGTAAAAGCTGAGGACTGGCCCCTGAGGCTGGGAAGAGCCTTGGAGTGGCCAAGTCTCAGCCACAGGACAGCGAGATGGCAGAGGGTCAGAGGTGTGGCTTTTTCAATGAGGTGAGCATGAAGGCCCAGAACTCCATGCAGATGGGGACAGACAAGCCCCAACCTGCTGCTGGCTGCTTGGGTGCGGTGAGTGCAAAGTCTCTAGGCTCACATGGGCTTTGGGGGCAGCTGGTGGAGCGTGAAGGGATTTAGGAGAAAACAGAAACTGAAGGAAAAAGTGTCAGAGTTGCACTCTGGATCCTAAATGTGTCCATGAAAGCGATGGCGGGTTCATTGGGTTTTGTTGACACTCTCCATCACGAATGCTTTCCACAGGGTCGAGTGGCCTTGGACTTGACTTGGGACTTAGGAACTCTGAGGTGTCTGAGATCAGCCCAAATGTCCGAAAAGACGTCTGGGTGTCCTGGGTCAGTGGCAGATCTGCTCGCCTCAGCAAGGCTTTGGCCCCTGTGCTGTTGCCCATTTTTACTGACTTCTCCCTGCCCTTCCCACCACAGGTCCCTGGATGTCACAGGTCAGAACCATCCTGACCCCCGAGGCCTGCACTCACGGCCCAGGCCTAGCTGCTGCCTCTGGACAGCCTCTCCCCCGGGGGCATGGGCACCCGAGACGATGTCACCTCAGGTGAGAAGCACCCAGGGAGGCGGCTCCTGGCCTTTCCCAGGGTGGGGGACCTTCCTCGGATCATGCTCTGTCGGGAGGTGGCTGTGCCTCTCCAGCCGTGCCCAGCTCTTCACATGCTGGCACTGGCCCTCCCTGCTCTGTCACCTGTCTGGTGGCTCCCTGGCCTGCAGGGGCTTTGAGGGTTCTGGAGATCCGGCCTGGGCTTTGCCTCCACTCTCTGAGGCAGAGTGGGCTGGCTCCTCAAGGGGCCCCTGCTGTTCTGTGGACAAGAGTGTGTGGATGGGCGGGGGCGTGGGGCCTTAGGGTTGTGGACGACTTGTTTCCTTAGCTGACCAGGTAGGGGAGCAAGAACTCTGTAATTCAGCCACAGAACATTCTTGCTGGGCCTCGCCAACCCCTTGAGTCTCCCAGCTCACTAGGCTGAAGGTTGGGATGTCGATAACTGTGCAATAGAATCCTCTTAGGGTCGGAAGACAGGGGTCCAGGCCTGGCTCTGCCTTTGGGGCAGCTGCTGTGTGTGCTTTAGTTTCCTCTGGGAAAAGAGGAGGTTGGTTCTGCCTCAGGTGAAGTGGGTACCTGTAACTTGCAAAGCTGGTTAGCCCCAAGGGCCAGATGACCTTTGGACAGAAGGTAGAGAATCAGGGTGGCCAGAGCCCGTCATCTTGGGAGACTGGGCCTGGTGTTCAGGCAGGACACCCTGAGGCTCTGACAGATTAATCTGAAAGCAACTGCATAGTTTAGGAATAAATCAGCACCTGACATTAGATTCTAGCAGGGAAGTGAGAGATGATGTTATGGTATGAAGCCCTGGTGCCTCCAGCTACTTGAACTTTGCGTGAACTGAGACACAGAGAGGTTAGCTTTTTCCTCTAGGCCACACGGTGACAGAAACGAGAACCCCAACTCCTGAGTCCAGTCTTGGGGCAGTGCATCTTGAGGGCAGGCAGACTGTGTTTCCATCTGAGTGGGGGCTTCTCTGAGAAGTGGGTTAGGGCCTCTGAGGTGTGTTAGGGAGGGACTGAGCTAGGAGAATGAAAGATTGACATTTATTAGGTGCCTGCTGAATGGCAGGTACTAAGGAAGCCAAGGGCAGGCCTGAGGGCGAGAGAGATTGGGAAGAGTGTCAGGGCAAGGTGTGCCTGAGGCTGCAGGACACAGCAGGGGGAAGGCTCTATTTTTGGGTACTGGAATGAACTCAGAGGTGCTTAACCACTGAGCCACATCCTCAGCACCTTCTTTTCTTTGTATTTTATTTACAGAGAGGGTCTCACTGAGTTGCTTAGGGCCTGGCTAAGTTGCTAAGGTTGGCTTTGCATTCTCCATCTTCCTGCCTCAGCCTCCTGGGCCACTGGGATTACAGGCATGTGTCACTGTGCCCACCTGGGGGAAGGCTTTTTAAAAGAGGAGATGGCTTAACTGAGCTGTGCACTCATCATTTCCTGGCTCCTTCTCTGATCTCAGTCTATTGGTGCCTCCCTTTGAAAAGCCTTCCCTGGCACTGTCCAGGGCCCCACTGTCATTGCTTGTTGATCCTTTTGTTCCCCCTCCAGACTTCTCCCACTCGAGGGCTGAGTCAGCCTTGCCCCCACCCCTATCCCCCTGTTGTATGCCAGAGTCACTGCACAGAGCAGTGATGAGCATTAATGAGTGTCTGCAGCTGGATGAAGGATGCTGGGGGCGGGGTGCATTTAGGAGGGAAGATGACTTCCGAGAGGAGCTGTGGCTAGGTAATGGATGCTTGCAGCTAGGGTGTTAGTCAGGGCTTTGTGGGTTAGGAGGTGGTCTGAAGCAGGTAGGAGTGAGGAGGTGGCCCAACGGCAGCAGCAAGTATGATATGTACCTTGATAGAGAATGGTACTGCAGACAGTGGGGTCAGCACTTTTGGATGATGGAGAAATCTGAAGAGCCATGGCCAGGGGTTTGGAGCAAAGTCAGGATGAGGAGATCAGAGTGGGAAGCAGGAGATGGTACCGGCTGAGAAGTTGGCTTGAGCAGGGTTGGTGGGGTTTGATGGAGATTGCAGGCCCCCCACCTGGCCGGCCCCCCATCTGCAGGTGGGGGATAGGTGTGGGCAACCACATGCCCTTGGTCTTTCAGGCAGAGACCCTGGGGGCAGAGTGTTAGGTGTCTGCATTTGTGTTTGGATTTGTGCCTCGCCCTGGCCTTGGAGGCCTCTAAGATACACCTATTCTGTGATTCTGTCCCTAGCCAAGGTTTTGGCTCCAGTGGCTGTGTATTGTGGGAGTGTCCCTAGGACCAGTGCTGGGCCCCGAGGGACCCCGCCTGGAGGCATCAACTCCAATCTGCCAGCTTATGGAGAAGGTAAGATGGTAGGACCCAGCCTGGTGACTCAGCCACACCAAATGGCCTTTGAGAGCCCTGTGTGGCCTCTCCGAGAACTTTGGCAGGTGATGGGGAGCTCCCCTGGCAACAGCCCAGTCAGGGCCACAGACCCCAGCGCAGAGCTCGGGCCCTAGACTGGGGAGGGAGATGAGGGTGTTGGACGCCCAGCTGTTCTCAAGCTACGTGGGTCCTTTTTGTTTCTTTAATGCTGTCTTTGTTTTGCTGCCTCACCTCGCCTTGAACTATTGGGCTAACGTGATCCTCCTACCTCCGTGTCCTTAGGAGCTGGGACTACAGGTGCCTGCCACCATGTCTGGCTATGTGGGTGTTATTAGTATTGTGGTCCCTGCTGAAAACACCCATGGTTATTGGCAGGTACTCTTGGCTCTGTGCCTCTCTTAAGGCCTGTCTTAAGAGATCCCAAGAAGACCTGCAGAGTGTCTGAAAGGTCCCCTGTCAGCACTTTCCCTTGTCCTGGGGGGATCCACCAGGCCACCTCTTCACCAGGTTCTTCCCCATCACCCCTCCCCACTAAGTGCATTGTAGGGCTTGGCCTCCTGGGCCCTTTGCTTCCCTCACTACAGGACCTCTCTTGGGGACCTGTACTGAACCTATTTATGGATGATGCATCTTCTTCCTCTAACAGATCCAAAGTCCCTTAATGGCAGACTGTGCCTCACATAGTCATATTTGACCTCCACTGCCTGGATAGTGCTTGGCACCTTGTAGGTGCTTATTAAATGCCGATTGAAAGAACAATTGAATAAGTGTCCCCCTATGAGCATGACTTGCTCCAAATCACCCAACTTCCCCATGTGGGGTTGGCATTATCCAGCGCTCCATGGTACTGAATGGATTTGTTGGAGATCAGTGGACAGTGGTCCTTGGGCAGTTGGCCTTTGCTAAGTACTTATGGCCTCTCATCTATGCTGTGACAGGCTGGATGTTGAATCCCTTTTTATTCCCTGAGGACTTCATGATGTGGGTCTTGCTCGGTGCTTCTTAGACACTCTTGGATGGCTAGATTGCCCAAGGAAGGACAGGAACATTGAATGACAGATTCATTAGACAAGTTTCTTGCCTACTCCTAGGAAGCCATACCAATGGGTTTGCTGGTGTCTGGTGCCACTGGGCCCTGCATGCCAAGCCACTCTTCCCTTTCTGCTTTAGCCTCCCTCCAGCCTGTGCCAAGTGTCCTGGTGAGCAATGAGAAGCCACCAGAGATCTTGAGCGGCCATGGGGATGCAGGCAACCTCAAACTGGACATCCCTCCAAAGGACTGGAAGGCTAGGAATGGCCACCCCAGGAATCTTGGAGCTCTGACTTTAGGGCCTTGCCCCCTGGCACCTGCTACCTCTCTGGAGTCAGAGGCCAACAGTGTGGCCCGGGACACCATCCAGATCAAGGACAAGCTCAAGAAACGGAGGCTTTCAGAGGGCATGGCGGCACCTTCAAGAGGTGAGCCCTGCCCCCTGCCACCACCATCCTGAGGTCAGGTACCAGGCCATTCAGGCTGTGAGGATCAGTAGGTATCCAGATGACTTCTGGGTTCCACTGGGGCTGTTTAGTGGGCACCTGCCTAGATGATGACACTATTCGGGGTGGGATGGGGCAGGAGGGGCAAGGATATCTGTTGGGCACATAAAGTATTAGCAAAGGGCTGGAAGGGGGCCGTCTGTCTTCTAGGTGATGTTGGAAATGTGAAGACGGCCGCCACCTCACTGCATTAGCTGGAAAGGGTGGGGGGTGGGGAGTAGAAAGGATTGATTGGCCCTGTCACATACTAGGAACTAGCTTGGCATTTTATGTAAGGGAGGTCACTGAGTCTTTGAGAGTATCCCATTTACAGAGGAGCACACGGGGTCAAAGAGACAGCGACTTGCCTGAGGTCACACCGCTGCTATCCAGGGCCAGAACCCACTGTCCTCGCTCCTATAATCCAGCACTGAGTTTGCTTGCCTTCCTACCCACACTGCCTCTGCAGTGGGTCACTTGGATTGGCATTTCTACCATTCTATGGGAATGGAAAAGGACGGTGCCATCTGCTGGCTTAGTCTACTGATAGGTGTGGGGCGGCGGGAGACCTGCCTTCTCCCCTCCTCATCCTAGCGTCCCCCGGGACACGAGGCCCTGGTGCAGCTCTGAAGTCTGCCCCCACTTCCTACTGTCCCGGGACTGACTCATTTCCCATTCTCACCTCTGAACAGCCTTGCTGGATCCCGGGGGAGGCCCTAAAGGTGTTCTTCTGAGGAGCACCATCCCGCGCACCACCTCTCAGAGGCTGCTGAAGGTGCCCAGGCCGATGCCTCCCATCCAGAGCATCCCCACCACCCCAGAGGCCAGCGGAGCCAAAGAGAAGAGCCTGGACCTGCCGGGGAATGGGAAGGGTCCCCAGGAGGTGAGAGCTAAGGCCCAGGAGATAAAGTGGTTCTGCTGCTCTGAGTCTTGCCTGCAATTGTCCTTCTGTCTGTCTTCCCATCCTCTACCAACCCCTGCTCCTGTGTTTCTGCAGATGTCTCAGGGGCTGCCCTCAAGGGTGGGGGTGGCATCGGGAGAGGCTTGGGCCCTGTTTCACCTCCTCTGCAGCATCCCAACCCTTGGAACTTCTGGGTGGCTGCTGTGGAGGTGCAGAGGCTGCCTGGCCACCTGTCCTCTTTGGTCTTACTGTTCAGAATTCCCCCTGCTTTCTGGCCCTCTCCATTTAAAGCCGGGAGATGTGACAGAGGGAAAAGAATGCTGGGCCAGGACTTGGATTTGGGTTCTGCTCCTCACTGCCTGTGTCACCGTGGGCAGGTCATTTCCTTATCTAGGCCCCAGCAGGTACATCTACAAAAATGGAGATTTGGACCAGATGTTTTGAAAGTCCCTTCTAGCTCTGATGTTCTCAGAGTTTTCTGAAACAAGAAAGAAAAAACAACCCAATAATAATAATTACAACCACCAAAGAGCTTGCCAGCCTTCTCACCTGGAGTGATAAGGAAGTAAGGGGCTTTCTGGAGGCTGGGGGTCTGGTCCCAGGGTCATGGGACTGAGAAGGGAAATCTGTGGGCACTTCCCAGCACTCTTCTCTCAGGTGGCTCCTGGCAGAAGGAGCCGAGTATCCAGCATAGGACGCTTCCATGGACCAGGACCCCTCTGCTCCCAGGTGCAGATTTCCCCGCAATACCTGCATTGCAATGACGAGAAGATGCTGAAGTCGCTGGGAGGCATCGTGATCCCACCCATCCCAAAGGCTGGGATGCCTGCGGGGACCTCCTCTAGTCGGTCTGGCTCCCTTCCCAGTCCCTTGCCTCCAGGAGGCCAGCACGTCCTCACAGGACTGAGGGTCCCACCCACACGGTAAGAGCCCCAGGTGTCTTCCTTTCCTCTATCTCTCCAGGATCCACAGGGGCTCCTCAAGGCTGAGCCTCATGTAACGGCAGAGCTCTGGGGCACAGGGATGGGAAGCCACAGACCTGTGGGGGCCACAGCATTGTTGCTGGGCCTTCTCTGATCCTGGACTACAGCAGGCTGGGAGCAATGGCATAATGGACCATGTCTCTGGTCTCTTCTATAATTTCTTAATGTGTATGATTGCTGTAGTGATGAAGAAAAATGCAAATTATTTTAGAGCATGGTTAAGTTCATGGTGGTTCCCTATTTTTATGTTTTTTTTTTTTTTTTTTTTGTACCAGAGATTGAACACAGGAGCACTGGACCACTGAGCCACATCCTCAGCCCTATCTTATTTAGACAGGGTCTCGCTGAGTTGCTTAGTGCCTTGCTTTTGCTGAGGCTGACTTTGAACTCATGATCCTCCTGCCTCAGCCTCCCAAGCCACTGGGATTACAGGCATGTGCTGCTATGCCCAGCTTATGTATTTTTTTAATGGATGCAAACTAAAAATTTGTGTGTTTGTATGTGTGTATGTGTGCATGGTATAATCCACAAAATTTCGGATTTAAAAAGGAGTCTTCATACCCAATAAAAGTTTGAGAATCCGTGGGATAGAGGGTCTCTGTGCTGTAAGGAATATGGGTTTATGGTTTGTAGGTAGGAGAGACAGTGCCCTCCAGATGGCCAACAATATCCCAGGGTCAGTCAAGCCTGATGTTGCAGCAAGTGTGTGTGAAAGTGTGTTCATGTGTGTATACAAGTGGGTGTAATATGTATCTGTGGGCATAAGCATGTGCATGAGTGTGTGCGTGCGCGCACGCGTGTGCACTCACTCACAGCCTGTGGGCCTGGCTCACCTAGCATGGTCACTGTCGAGTTCCTGTTGTGACTTCTTTCTCATTGCTTTGGCCTGATGTTCTGAATTCTCCCACTTCTCTCCAGCTCCTCACTGTCTCATCTCCTGTACTTTCTTCCCTAACTATCCTTACCAGTGTCTGTGTCCCCATCTTTCTCCAGCTGTGTTGGAGTGTGGGAACCTGTGCACATACTGGCTTCTGGATGCACATCCTCTGCTTGATTTCCCTTCTCTGCCTCCTCAGACCTCGCCTGCTCCAGCCTCCTCCCCTTCTTCCTCTCCTGCCCAAATTCCTGCCTCTTCCTCCCCTCTGCTTAGCAGTGTCAGTAGTTATAATGACTCTTAGCCCCAGACCAGTGGCCTATTCACCTCATTACTCTTGATTTTTTTTGTGTCATTTGGGCTGTTGATGGTCCTTGGACTTTTCCTCAATTTCCTGACTCCTGCTTACCTGCTTCTGGACCTTCCAGGTGGTCTCTTGCCTGCCCTCCTTCATCTATCAGTCTCTTAAATTTGGCCATTCCTGAAATTTATCCCAGGGCCCTCTTTGTTTTCTCCTGGGGGCCCTCTGTGCGTGCTCTCCTGGATCACATGGGTGGTGATCTTGCCGCTCCTGCTCTGACCTTACATCTCCCCAGAGGTCCATTCTCTGGCTGGGCATCTCCAGTTCTCACAGCTGATGCAGATCAGCATGGGGGGAGGCAATATGGAGTACCTATGCTTCCCCAAACCACCTTTCCTGGGCTTATTTCCATCAAGGTGCAGGTATTTGCCTTGGTCTTCAAATCTCAGCATCATCTTTGACTCTCCTCCCAGTACCCCAACCCCTTCCCCACAGATGGCCACGTGCCCTCAAGTCTTTCTTACAACAACAAAAACACACAAAACCTCCCACCTGGCTCTTGCTCTATCGGTTCCTCTGGGGTTTGCGGGTTCCAGCTCTTTCTTGACCACCCCTAAAAGCTCCTGACCTGCTCTCCATCCTCACCTTGCATCCCCCAGTGACTCTTCTGTGACCTTCACCTTTATTGACCTCCTGGTGCTCTCTCCTCTCCTGGGTGGCCTTTACGATGAGTCTCCTTGGTCTGACTTTGGGGCTCATCCTTTGCACCCCACTCCGCATATTTCCTCCTGTGCTGCTCTGTAGGAACACCCCTGCCCCTCTGTGGGTGCTCTGGTTCCTGAGCGGGAGCCTTGCTTTCCCAGACGGTGTTTCCGCCCCAACCCTACTGCTCCAGCCCATTCTGTCTCTACCATTCCACGTCTACACTGGCTTTCATGGGCTGCAAAGGGTGCTGCGTGCAAGTGGCCATCTCTGCACTGTCCACTTGACATCCAGCCCATGGACTACCTGACCACAGCCTTTCATTATTTTATTTAAATTTTTAAAAATATTTTTAGTTGCAGTTGGACACAATACCTTTATTTTATTTATTTATTTTTTATGTAGTGCTGAGGACAGAACCCAGTGCCTTACACGTGCTAGACAAGCGCTCTACCACTGAGCCACAAACTGCAGCCCCTATTCATTTAAATTTGATTAACATATTTAGCCTATTTACATTTATTTTTCTTATATTTATTTTGTCTTCTCATTTTATTCTTTAACTTGCAGCATTCAAGGGCAGGGGCCATATCTCAAAAGTCTCTGTGGCTCCCAGGATGCCAAGCTTGGTGTCTGCCATAGCCTAGTTGTGACTGGATTTCTCTTCTCTGACTCTGTGGGGCTGTCCAGCCAATGGGTCTCCATCTCACTGATTCATCTGTCCATACTTTTATTCTCTTAAGAGCTATTAGGCACCTGCTAAGTGCCAGGTGCTGCAGAAACAAAGTGAAATAAGACCCACACTGTGTGCTCTAGGCACCCACCAGAGAGATTTAGGAGGAAATCACTGAGTCCATGTCCCATGACTGCCTGTCCTACTGGGAGCCCAGTAGAGAATCATCTGCGTCATGCTGGGCAGATTTCTTGGAGAAATTCTGAAGGCTGAAGGAGAATTCGTGAGGTGGAGGAGAGATTCGAAGGAGGAGCCCCTGGGACTTTAAGGGACTGGCGGAGGGAGGCGGGAGGGGGAGCGGGCGGTGCTCACCTGTGTTTGAGAGACAGGCTGCCAGGAAAGCAGGGCTGGGAATCATAGGTGGTCCTCCAGGAGCGAGTGCTTTATCCTGGGGGAATGAGATGTCACCCAGGGCTTTTTGGCGTAGAGGTGACATTGGTTCTGATTTCAAGAGGCCAGTTTGGCAGCTGTGGAGCTGTGCAGACCAAGGCGGGTGGGGCAGGTGAGGGGGGCGGAGCCCAGGTGCTGGAGCAGGGCAGAGCAGGGGTGAGGTGAGGATGCGGGAGAGGGGGGTGAGGATGCGGGAGAGGGGAGCGAGGAGGGGAGACTGGGAGACTTGCTGGTGGCCTCAGCTTGCCTTGGCCCCTGGGACACGCTGGTTTTGATATGTGGCAGGGAGGGGCTCATGTCGGGCTTAGCTGCTTCAGCCCCTCCCCCTGTTGGCAAAGGGAGGTCCGAGGTCACTGAGCTGTGCACCTGCATTCAGTCAGATACCCTAGGAGTGCTTGGAAGTCATCTGGCAACCACGAGGACGTTCCACTTCACTTCTCCTGCCTTCCCCATCTTGTTCATGCAGTGGGAAGTGGAACTGGGATGCGGTGCCTGGGGCCACCAGCTCTGTCTCCAGCCCACACAAGTCCTCTGGGTGGGTGCACACCCAAGGGCTGGACCTGTTCCAGGCAGAAGCTGAGAGTCCAGGACTGCACCCAGTGTGGAGCTCTGTTTCCCTAGTAGACTTGGGACCCCCCTGACCTCTGTGGTCCTTATTGATTAGGGTCCCCTGGGCCAAGGCAGGCACTGAAGTGGACTCCCCTACTGCCTGTTCTCAGGCCCATCCTGACCTGGTCATTCTGCTGAGTGGCTCCACTGAGGCCAGAGCCCAGGATGCTGTGTCCCAGTGCTTTTGTGGTGGCTTGTTACCCTGCCAGCTCCTGGGTCCTGATGCCTATGTACTTCCTTGCTGAGAAGAGAAATCACATGGGAGATGGCACAGCTGGCCTCCATGGGGGCACAGTTCTCTGTCCATTGCACTGATGCTCTAATGCCAGGTCTGAACAGTGCTTGGTACATTGCAGGTGCTCAGTAAATAAACATCTTTTGAATGAATGAATGGTGCTTTCCATTAAAAAAACTGCAGCGCGACCCGTGCCAGGAATGTCCCCGTCTTATCCTTTCTATGTGCCATCAAATTGAATTTCTAGTACAAAACAGTGGTGATTTCCCATCACAGCAAAGAGGACCTTCTAGATTCCCCTGGGGAGGTGCAGGAGGGGGGGAGGAATATTTAGGGGTCACTGAGCTAGGTGGGAGCAGTTTGTAGAACTTGCGCTCAAAGCTCTCTGAGCCGGGGGACAGTTTACACTCTGAAGCAGCTGCTGTCCTGCCACTCAGGTCCAGGAAGCCACAATAGCGGGTGGGGCTGTCCTTGAAGATTCATTTCCATGTGGGCGCCAGCTGCCTGGGGACAGACCAGGGCACAGCCAGGAAGCCAGTCTGGGCTCCCAGCCTGCCTGTCTGTCCCTTAGCCCCTAGGGCACACAGGAGCTGTATCTCCTGGCCTGTTCTCTCCTGGATGGGAGCTTGGACAGGGAAACCAGCTCCCTCCCTGTGTCCCTAGTCTCTGTTCCTCATCCTGGAGCCACCCTGGGCTCCCCCACCCACCACCTCTGTCTTGCTTTCCTCACTCTTCTGTTTTCTCCCCCATTCTTTTAAGATTGGTTCGGGAGAGTGGGCCTCGGGAGAAGACCCCTAGATCTTTGGGTATGTATTCTCTATGAGCACACCCTGGTTTTTAACCCTTTGTATTCCTGGGCTGGGTCGTGGAGTGGAGTTAGGCCAGAAGAGACCTCAGGGCCCTCATTTCCAAGCCCCTCATTTCATAGACGGGGAAGCTGAGTCACCTGTGGTCCCTTGCTGGAGGGTGACGGTAGGCCTGGGCGAGGGGCTGGAGAAGCAGTGCACATTGGTGCCTGCTCTGCCTATGTTGATATACATCATAGTTGTACATCACTAGTTCATGATGGCCCAGATGAGAGGGATGACTCTGTTACCAGTTGACAGATGAGGCTCAGTGACCTGGGTGTCCTCCCTGGCCTTGGAGAGTGAAAAGCAGCCCCATCAGATTTGCACTGGGGACTCTTACTCTGTTTTAAGCAAGCAGAGGTGACCTCACTGGACAGAGCATGAAATCACATTCCACAAACCCTCAGTCGGGGCAGGTCCTGGCAGGTCTAAACGTCAGGGGAACAGGGCCAACCCCAGGATAGGAGTCAGGAGTGGGGCTGGACAGGAGGCTCTCAAGTGGGCAGAGAGGGGAGGAGGGATCCTTTCTGGTCCTGATGATCTCACTCCGTGGAGAAGCAGGCCTTGGCTGTGGTGCAGGGGAAATGAGGCCACAGCCTCCTGCCTGGTGGCTGGGTGGTTGGGGCACCCTGATCCGGGGCTGCAGGTAGTGGGAGTTGGTGCCAGCTGATGTGCTGACTGGCAGGAGGGTGCCAGCTTCCTGGCAAGTCCCTGGCTGATCAGCTCAGCAGGTGGGTCAGTTGGCAGAGGGCAGGCTGTTGCCCAAGAGGCCCCCAGGTCAGGACACAGAGCTGGACCTGAGAGGTAGGCCTGGCACTGAAGCCTTGGTGGCAGCTGCTTCTCCCCTGCTCCCTGACTGGGCTGCAGTGGGGTGAGCCCAGGCAGCCTGGGTGACACTCATGGCACCTCAAGTGTCCTTTAGGAGCCTCCTCTGAGATTGCTGGCATGGGGGTTTGGGCCAGGAGACCTTGTCATGAGGGCCTGGCTACCCAAAGCTTCTTAAGGTGTCCCTTAAGGGTGAAGGTGGGGAAGTGGTATACAAAGAGCAAAGTCCTTAGAGGGCTCCCTGCCCGATGTGTATAACATGCCTAGCACATAGTAGGGGCTCCCATGATATTTTCTGCAGCTGAGGGCTTCCTCAAATCTTGCAGCATTCCTGCAGACTTTGCCCTGGTCAGTTAGCTCTGTCACCACCCCCGCCCCCGTGTCCTCTGCCCTGTCTCTTACCTCTGGGCAGATGGAGGCTTTGAAGCCTCTCTTCCCCCTTCTCTCTGCCCCAAAGAGAGGGATCCTTATCAGAAGGTAGGAGGTGGGCAGAGGACCATGGGACGGGACCAAAAAGCTCTTCAGGAGTCCAAGGTTCATGATTCCCTTTCCAGCCTTGGGCAGCCCAAGATGGCGGCCCGTCTGTGAAATAGGAGAATGGGACTAGTGGCAGTTCTCTGGCCCTTCCAGCTCTGCTGTGGTGGTATAAATGGTCAGCAGGCCTGTTTTACTTTTTCTTTTCCCGATCCTGTTTCCTGCCCAGCCCCCTTTCCATGTCTATATAAGAATAGGGCAAGCAATTCTTGCTGAACGAATGAATGAATGAGTGAATGAATAAAGGGGGATGATGCGGTCCTAGGCCCTGTGGCTCAACAGGGGAAACCTAACCTCCATTAGGGAAGTGTTGGACAGAAGCACTGAGGGTGGAGGGCTTGGGCAGTTAAGTGACCCCAGCCACAGGGTCGGGGAGAGTAGCTCAGGACCTGATTGTCTTCACCTCTCTCCCTATTCTTGACTCCCCAGAGCCCAAACCTTTGGCTCCACCCATCAGAGACAGGTCTGCCACCTCCTCCGAGAAGCCTGTCCTGGCTTCATCACAGTCTGCCCCTACGCTGACAGCCTTCTCTTTCAACCACGCCAAAGAAGCCCACCCCTTGTTAAAAGAAGAGGACCAGAAGGAGACCAGCACCAAGGTATCTGGGAGGCCAGAGGAAGATGAAGTCAGGATCAAAGTGGACCACTAGCTAAATCCCAGTATGTTTCTGAAATGCACAGCGTAGAGCTGGCCCGTGGGACATGGAGGAGAGCCATGCAGAGCCGAGGCAGCTGTGTCAAACCCTTAAGGCCAGGACTGCGGATGGTCTGGGGGTGAGGGAGGAAGAGAAAGAAAAACTAGGACAGGGCTGGGGTGGGCACTGGGTGAAGTGAAGAGTACAGAGGGTTGCTAAGGGGCAGGTGGGGAGGAGGAAGGACAGAAGAAGGTCACACATGGTCGGAAGGAAGCAGGATGTGGGGGAGAGGACAGAGGGCTTAGGTGAACCAGGCTGGGTAATCTGACCTGCCAGGCTGGACAGCATCCGAGAGGCAGCTGACCAGAGGCTGTGGGGCCACGGTCTGACGAATACCCTGTACGTTGGAGGTGACCTTGAGGAGGTGGCTTATCTTCCCTGGACAGGACTGATTTAGTAAAACTTGAAGAGGTGCTGGTAGGGGGCGCCTGTGTTCAGAGGTAAAATAGTTCAGCTCAGTAAACACGTCCAGGTGCCTATCCCATCCCCACCACGTGGGAGGCGGGGATGCCCTGCTGATACTGACAAGGGCCAGGCCCTGCTCTAGTGAGGGCGACAGAACACGAAGGGTCCTAATCATTCCATGTAGAGAAGACTTTGTCCTCCACTCGGCCTCCGCTTCCCACTGCACAGTCAGACCCCAGATCCCGGCATTACCAAATTCGCCCGCCACCCATCTTCCAGATCCCAAGTGTCCCATGGGCTCACCACTGTGTCTTTGTTCTCGCTCCATTCACCCAGGCTCCAGCCCAGCATGGGTTCACCTTCTTGCATCAACAACATTCTCCCTGAAATTGGATCATCCCAGCCCCACGTTCACTCTCTGTCCTCTCTTCCATCTTCAGAAAACCCGACAAAACCAGAACAAAGCTATTACACCTCTCTTTTCCGGTTCTCTCCTGAGCTTACTCCAGTCCGACTTTAGTCCCCCCCTCCCCACAAAAAGGGTCACCAGTGACTGTCACCTTCCCAAATGCAGCCACATCTCAGTCCTGTCTATGTTGACCCAGCAGCAGCAGCTTTGGATTCAGCTGGCAGTGTGGTCCTCGTCAACGCTGCCTTTAGGGATGGAGGTGGGGTGGCTCTTCCTGGGTGCCGTGCCTCCATGAGAGCCAGCTCCTTCTTGGCCCTTCCTTGCTGGCTGCTCGTCACCTTCCCAACCTCTGGAGGCCGAGCCCTCCCGGGCTTGGACCTCTGGTTTATTTACATCACCCTCAGGACCTCCTCCAGTTCGTGGCATTGAGTACCGTCTCTCAGTCAAGAACTCCCAAACGCCCCTCGCCAGCCCCCACCTTCCCCTCACCTCCGTTCACATGTTCAGCTGCTACTCAACGTTTTCCCTTAGGTGTCTAATTATATTTTAAACCTACCATGCCTGAAGCTCAACGCCTGAATCCTCACCTCACAAAATCTCCTCTTTCTCTAATGTTCCTGCTCAGGGAATGGTGGTAACAGGCTACTCCAGCCTTCCAGGGCCTCAGGCCAAATGTCTTAGGCCCATCCGTGATTCCTCTCTCTGTCTCTTTCACCTCGCATCTCAAGTGTCAGCAAAATCAGGTCTGGTTTAAAAAATGCCCAGGGGCTGACGGTTCCACCATCCCCGCCCCCCCAGCCCTGGTCCAAGCCCCCACCTCATGCTCAGTGTTCACTTGCTCTGATCCGCTGGTGCCCACTCCACCTAATCTGGACTCTTCCCATGTAGCCCCATCCCTGGGATATAAAAGACAGAATGTTCTGGGTTGTGTAAGATGGCATCGTTGGAGGAGGCCGGGGGAAGCCTACACAGAGACTCTTGGTCCTACTTTTACAACTTCTTATGAGTCTCAAACTATCTCAAAACAAAAAAATTAAAAGAAATCACCCAGGGAGAAGCCAGTGCCCCCGAAGGAGGTCAGGTCATGCCACTCCTCTGCTTCAAATCTTAAATGGCCTCCTGTGTCCCTCTGAGGAAAACCCAAGTCCTCACTATGGACTGCAAGGCCTAGTGTGGTTTAGATCCCGCCACCTTCTGACCTGGTGTCCTGTCACTGCTGTGACTCAGAGGGCTGTGCCAGCGTCCCCCCACCCCACCCCTTGTAGCCACACTGGGCACACTCCAGCCTCAGGACCTTTGTATTTTAGAACATTTCTTTCCTAGAAATTTCTTTCCTTTTCTTTATTATGTCTCTGCTTAAATTTCACCTCTGGGGGTACCTCTGGGCCTCCTTATCTAAAGCAACAGTCACCATCACTTCTGTATCCTTCCATTTTCTTTCCCCCCAGCATTTCGCTTGACATTAGAGATTCATGTGTTTCTTGTCCATCTCCTCATTTCACAAAACTCTTAGGGGACAAGGACTTTATCTTTTTGGCTCCTTCTTGGAACAGTGATTGGCACATAGGAGGTGCTCATGCTTTTGAGGACTGAATGAATGAGGGTATAGAAAGTATAGCCGAGTCCCCAAGGCTAACAGAGTTTGCCTTGATCTTGTGCCAGATCCAAGTCACCATCTCCAAGTCTGCACAGGAAAAAATGCGGCTGAAGCAGATGAGAGAGATGGAGTTGTTCCGGAGGACAAAGGAGCCTGACAGGGAGAAGGAACTTGCTTCCCAGGCCCCTGGCTCGAGGAGAACCCTAGTGAAGGAAGGTACTGGGTGCATGGGATGGGAATCCTTCAGACTGGGGAAACTTCTTGGCCAATTCCTGGATTCTCAACTCTTGAGACTGGACAGGGCCTATGTCCACTCTCATAGTCTGCTTTTTTTAGGGACTGGGGATTGAACTCAGAGACACTGACCACTGAGCAACATCCTTAGCCCTATTTTGTATTTCATTTAGAGACAGGGTCTCACTGAGTTACTTAGCATCTTGCTTTTGCTGAGGCTGGCTTTGGACTCGCCATCCTCCTGCCTCAGCCTCTGGAGCTGCTGGGATCACAGGCGTGTGTCACCGTACCCAGCTCATAGTCTGTTAATGGGACCATTTCCAAGGGATCTTGGACCCCAGGGAAGGCAGGACCAGCTCAGTTCTAGGACTTTCTTTGTCTCCACAGGCCTCCTTCCCCTACGGGGCAGTGGGACCCTGTCTGTACCCACCAGGATGAACAGCCCACGCAGAAACAACATTGGCATCATCTTGAGGAAGCGGGCCAACCGGTCCTCTCTGCCCAGCATCCCCGTCAGCAAGCAGGAGCCCAGCTTTGCCCGCCATGCTTCAGGTGGGGCTCAGACCTCTGGCCGCGAGGCCCCAGGATGCTCTGGGGCATGAAAAGGGGATATGAGCTGCTCTGCCTGCCACCCGTAGAACTAGCAGGTAGCCCTTGTGTGAGGCGTCAGCTTGCCAGAGAGAGGAAGAGTGTTTGGAACTCATAACCATCTGTGGACCAGGCAGGGGACCCAGAGATCACACCTGGTGTGACATGTCCTAGCAGAGTCATTAGCATACCAGATCAAAGATGCTATCGAATAGCAGCCAAGGAAGTAGAGGGAACTCCAGGAGGAGGAGGAGGAGGGGAGAGATCCCTGCCTGCTGTGTCACACTGACAGGTGGGTCAGAGGATCCACAGGTCCCAGCAGGACACCTCAGGAAAGGCGCCAAGGGGCCAGGGGAGGCTCTGTCTCCATTCCATTTTGCACATAAGCCATTCACATGAGCTTTCATTTGAAAAGATTACTTAAAGGTATTTCAAAATAAACAATTGGGTCCAGTTTATTTCAGTGGGATGTGGTGGACAGGGTTGGTGGACTAAAACATTTTAGTGCAATAAATTATATGAACTCACTTCCATTTTCCATTCAGCCTTTATGATCTGGGCATCGATCCCAGATGATGTCATGTGACGATCCAGCCTCTATGATTGTGTCAAGTAGAAAGTTTAATTTGGGGCTAACCTTTGGTATCTCTCTTTTTTGATGAAGAGATCCTCCAGGCTCAGTCGGAGATGTCTGAAGCTGGCTCTAATTTTATAGCGAGGGTTTTAAAATATCATTCTACTTTCATTATAAATATTCATATTCTATGACAAATAATATCAGTTTATCCATTATGGTAGTGACATAAAACTCCCTTTAAAATGAATTTACTTAGATCTGGAAAGAGGCTTGACTTGAAGAAAAATACAAAGCAAGAAAAAGTGTAGGTAATTAAATGATATGGCAAAAAGATCATGATACTGGGAAATATTGATCTATCTAACTCAACCGACTCACTTTATAGATAGGGAAACTGAGAACCAGAGACCCAAGGTCACCAAAGGTCCCTCAAGGTGACGGTGGCCCATAGAACTAAGACTTTGGCTAGTGACTCTTGACCCAGTATGGTCTGTTACCGCCTCTCATTATTTAAACTGGGTGTGTGTGGAGGAGTACGGTAGAAATAAGATCGTTAAGTAGGTAGGTTGGGTTGTTGGAGTTAAGAAAAAACCAACATTCTCCTCTTATATCCTCCCTAGGATATAATCTTCCTCTTCCTCCTTCCTCTTCCTCTCTCTCTTTCTTGATAGTCAACAGAGAATCACTTACATTTTACTCCGTTTTTTGGTTTGCCTGGAAATGATGGAATTTCAGGACTGTAAACTTGGCTATCCTCCTGATTTTCCTAACAAATCCAGTAAGACTCTAGCTTTTCTCGGGATACCAGGTAGGTTTAGGAGAGCTTGATTGTGTCTACTCAATTCCTCCCATTTTATATGTGCAAAAAAATGGAAACTCCTGAACTACAAGGCACTCTGTGGACATTATTGAAAAGCCGTCAGGGTAAGGGACTGGGTAGGACTAAAGTAGACACAGACCCTAAGAAATTCGAGGCTGCAGTGGCTTCTGCCGGTGCCTTTTGTGTGTCTTAAAATCTAGGTGGATGCTAAATGCCACTGGAGAACGAGGTGGCAGCAGGTTGGGGTTGGCAGGAGGCCAGCTTGTGTCTTCTCCTGAATGGACCAGTGCTGCTTGCAAGCTTCACAGACAGTGTTTAATTCAGGCCCAGGTTGACAGGGGAGGATAGGGAGGTTGGGTGTCTCACCTCCTACCTCCTAGAGGGTGATCTGAGGGCTGACACACTCTTTCGTGTGCCAATGGCAGAGAATCCAGGAAGGACATCTTTGTGTCTGGTTTTAAGTAAAGGGCTGCTTCTCCACTCAGATTTGCCCAGGACCCCCTGGATGTGCTGTAGAGAAGATCATCCCTGGGGGTGAGGAGAGCTAGCCGGGGAGCGAGGCCTGGGAGCAGAGCTCTGGGTTGGAGACTTTCTTCCCTGTCTCTGTGATGGTCTCTCAGGGCCTCCCATATTCCCACTGTGTGATGAGGGCATTGGGCTAGAAAGAGCGCCTCTGAAATTTCTTCCTGTTCTTGTGAGAATTTGTGATTCTGTCCATAAAGAAGGAGCGCATACAAAACACACTATTTTTGTTTGTTTTGGTACTGGGGATTGAAACTGGGATGCTCTACCATTGAACTACAGCCCCACTCCTTTAATTTTTTAAAACTTTTTTTTAATAGGTTCTTTTTTAGTTATTCGTATTAGTAGAATCCATTTTGACATAATTATACAAGCATGGAATATGTCTTATTCTAATTCAGTCCCTAGTACCTCTCCTTCCTCTTCCTTCCCCTGTGCCTGCTCCTGTATCGATCTTTCTGCCATTTTGAGACAGGGTCTTGATAAATTGCTGAGGCCGGACTTGAATGTGCAATCCTCCTGCCTCAGCCTCCTGAGTAGCTGGGATTGTAGGCATGCAGCACCGCGATCAGCACATGCACATGCTCTGGTTTCTAAATCACTTACTTCCCTGTCTGTTGTGGGCCACATCTGGACCCAGCATCTGGACCTTGTCTCCTCCAGGTCTTCTTACCTTTCTCTGCCTCCCTCCAGCCATCTGTCCATGGAGCACTTACCTACTCAGGCAGAGGATGATAGCAGGAGGGAAGGAGCAGAGGCTCCTGGTGGAAGTGAGGTCAGAACCATGAAAGGCGCTCACTGAGAGACTTCCTGGGCCTCAGACCAACCCCAGGTAGGGCAGGACTGGAGGCGAGTCCTGGCTCCATGGGCATTGTCACGTGACATCAAGCAGCACATCACAAGTCAGTGTGTCCACCATGGTCAGAGTGGCAATGGAGGAATGCAGAAAGTCAACAAAAGGCACAGTCAGATGGTCCCCTTTGGCTCCCTGGGGCGTAAGGCCTGGAGCTTGTTCTGACCATCACCAGTCCCTCCTGCATACACAGTGGACTCCAAGCTGAGGGCCATTGGCATGGTGAGGGTCAGGAGGAGCAGCCACTGGGGACATTTGCCCTCCTTCAGTCCTCCTGGGTGAAGCTTCTTCTTTCTTTTCTGTTCTGTGGGTGCAGCTAACTCCTTACCTGCTGTGCTCACTCTGGGGTCTCCTGAATGGGAGGACGAGGAGGACGAGATGGGTCTGAGAGCCTTCAAGGAGTTGAGGCCTTTCTCGAACCCAGAGCTGGGTTTGATGGACGCCCTCCAGTGCCTCAACAGCAGTGATTGGTGAGGAGACACCGTGTGTGTGTGCACAACCTTGCATCTATGTGGGTGTGTGAGTGTGTGTGTGAGTGTGTATGTGGTATCTCTAGCTTCCTGAGCCTGGATCCCCCCGGTTGACTCTGTGCACTGATCTGCAACACGCCAGGGTTAGGCCTGACAACTGTGACTTTGACTCCAGAAGGTGGGGACTGGGAACGATCACAGCCCTTCATTTCCCTAACTCAAGTTTAATTTGCTGAGTCTTCCTCACCCTGTGCTGATGGGGCACAGTCTCTTAATCATGAGCAGAGTGATGGCTCAGAGTCCAGAACATTTATGGAAAGCCCTCAGGGTCTTCAGTCCTCACTCCAAGTACGTCCCTTTAGGTGTCTGCTTTGTGAAAAGGACCCAAATAGGTCTTGGTCTGGGCATGGATCCCAGCACTGCCAGAGCCGAGGGCCACCCAGGGCCCATACAATGGCTCACACTGAATGCCTAGGATTTCAGGCCTGGGTGACACTCCAGGAAGTGCTGCCTCTGAGACCCTGGAATCCCACCCTGCTCTGTGTGTGTGTGTGTGTGTGTGTGTGTGTCCCAGAGGTCCCTGGTCTGCAGAAGGAGCAGGGCTTCTTCCTCTTTATCTACTTGTGACAGTCCCGGCCTTGCTTCTCAGGCAGATGAAGGAGAAGGGCCTGGTGAGCGTCCAGCGCCTGGCGGCCTGTCACTCGGAGGTCCTGGCTGGGAGGCTGCACGATGTGTCCTTGGCAGTGACTGGGGAGGTGAGGCCTCCCGACAGACCATGAGCTTTGCCCCCTCCCTGCAGCTGCTCCCCCTTCCCTGGTGCAGCTGCTAAGGTGAGTTTCCAGCAGCCACGGAGGGGCCCATGGCTCCCTGGAACATGGGCATCTCTACTACGTCTCAGCCTTCAGCCACTGAGGTAGGAGGAGCCACCATTCTTTTCTTTCTTTTTTGGTAGCAGTGATCAACCCCAGGGGTGTTTAACCACTAAGCCACATCCCCAGTCCTTTTATTTTTTATTTTGGGACAGGGTCTCACTGAGTTGCTTAGGGCTTCGCTAAGTGGCTGAGGCTGACCTTGAACTTGTGATCCTCCTGCCTCAGCCTTCTGAATCTCTGAGATTACAGGCATGGGCCACTGCACCTGGCTAGCCATGCATACTTCAGATTAGAGAGCAGAGACCCAAGTGGCACATTTGGAATCTAGTGTGTCCTTTTGCACACAAACTGCCTGAGGAGGGATGGCATGCTCTGGGCCAGATCCCCAACTTCAGGACAGCTGTAGCATTTCCCAAGGCCTGTCTGAGGCTGGGACTCAGCCTAGGTTGGGCCCAGAGAGGCAGTCAGAGGCACTTGATCCATGTGGAGGCCTTGCAGACAGATTGCTTCAGTGGGGGAAGGGATATGACTACAGAAGATGTTATGTTGACAAGCAGGCTGGGCAGGGTTGTGGCTCTGTGCTTTCCTGTATGTGACCTAGGGTCTGTTTCTTCGCTACAAAATGAGTGTCATATACCTACTTCTCACAGTAGCTGTGAAGATCAAATTGGATATATATTTTTTTTTATAAATGTGCCCTGAAGACTAAGTGTTGTGCAAATTTCAGATGATAATGATAATGGTGGAATTAACAATTATGATGATCACAAAATGGGACTGTTTTGCCCAGAGCAGCTGCAGGGTGTTAATTTCTAGCGTGGTGAGGGGTGAGGAGGGGGCGTGGTGAGGGGGTGAGAAGGGGGCTTGGGGTGGGGGAAGGGTTAGCGCCAGGGCTGGTTCACTTCCCATCCTTGCTGTGTTCCAGAGCCCTAGGCAGGGTCTGGCAGTCCTAGAGGCCCCTTCTCTCTCTCTCTCCCAGGTCTCCAACCTCCGCTCCAAGGTGTCCCGCCTGGCCATCAGCACCCTGGGTGACCTTTTCCGGGCTTTAAAGAAGAACATGGACCAAGAGACTGAGGAGATCACCCGCTGCCTGCTCCAGAAGATGGGGAACACCAGCGAGTTCATCCAGCGGGCAGCCAACCGGGCCCTGGGTGCCATGGTGGAGAACGTGACCCCTGCCCGTGCCCTTGTGGCCCTCACCTCAGCAGGCATTTAGTATGTGGCTGCCTGTTGTCTAGAAGGGCCAGGGAGGCAGGGGAGAGGCTCTAAGATGTGAGAGAAGGAAGAACGGGACAGAGAAGGAAGGAGGCAGAAAAGTGGGGCTGCAGAGGGTCAGCGTGCCCAAGGCGCCCACCTCAGGCTCTGAAGCTGGGGAGGGAGACCCGGCTTCTCAGTGGGCTTTCCCCCACCCTTTCTGGACCAGGCTGGGGATTCTGGAAGAGGAGGGGTGCTGTTGTTCTGCTCCAAGACTGGGAAGCACGGTGGCCATGGTAACGCCTCAGGAGGCACGGTCACAGAGCGGCCTGGGCTGTGCCCCAGGGGCTCCTGCCCTCCCGGGGGCATTCTGCTTCTGTCTGATGAAATCTGGGCCAGTGAGGAGAGGAAGGCACAAATGGCCATCTCCCGGGATGGGAGGGGCTGCAGTTGGAGCCCGATTTGCTTTTCCCTTAAGAACAAAAAGCAAAACCAAAGGCATTTCCCGGGCCCTCTCTCCCACAGGCGAAATGCCCCTCCACCCCAATAAGTCCACCAGCACGGGCCTCTCAGGGGACATTAGGGCCTGCCTCTGCAGCCCGCACACCTTTGCATGTCGCCAAGGGTAAGGCGCTCCTGAGCCACATCGCCTGGGTTCCATTCTGGATTGTTCCTCACCTCTCCAGGCCTCCTGATGTGTTTCTCTTGTCAGTTCAGATTCCACCTGTCACAGCGACCAAACCACCCAGTTCAGTTCAACAGACATGCACTAGGCTTCTGCGGTGTCAGGGTGTGCTGGGGGCCTGTGAGGTTGCGTCGGAGAGGGGGCCCTGTTCTCTGTTCCCAGGGAGCTGGACGCCTCACTGGGCTGGGGGCAAGGGCACACCTCAGAGGGAACATGTCAGTGTGCCTGTGAGGCTGGGAAGGAAGAGGAGACACTGACTGGGATTTTTCTAGGTGGAGGAAAATGGGGTGGCGCATGTAGATCAAAGGACGAGCATGCACTTGGGCAGGGCCCGAGAGCACCGAGCACGGGGCGTTTGGGGAGCATCTTGGCTTCAGGCACTTGTCCCTTCCTCACAGTTGTTGTCATTGTAGCCCTGTCATCAGAACTGATGGCTCTGTCCTCCAGGATTCCCCAGCCGTGTGTGGGAGCCACGGTGGGCTGGCCTGAACACGGGTCTACAGTCTATGCTTGTAGATCCATATTTTCAAGCTGGGACCCCCACATCCCCATCCTGGGACTGACCACGTGGCTGTGCTTGTTTCCTTTCAGCCACCGGAACCCATTAGTTCGGAAATGCACCGCTGAGCACCTTTCAGTCGTCCTGGAGCAAATTGGTGCAGAGAAACTTCTCTCAGGCCCGAGGGACAGCACTGACATGCTGGTGCACAACCTGGTGAGGCTGGCTCAGGACTCCAACCAGGACACCAGGTAGAGCAGGGCTGGGGCCTGGGGCAGACAAGGCCACCAGCCAGCCCCAGGGGCCCTGGCCAGAGTTCAGCTTCCCTGGGGTCATTCAGGGGGACCGTCAGGTAGACTGAAGCTGATTTTCCTATTGTTCCCCCTCCCTCCCACGTCACAGACAAGTCTGTTCAAGGAGCCTTCGGTGCCCCCTGCCTCCACGCTGTCCTCTTCCTTCCTCTCTCTACTCCTTGCCAAGTTGCTCCTATCTCCACCCACCCCGGCTCTGTTCTCTGCAAGACTGTTCGGTCATTTTGCCAAGCGTTATCTGCGGAGCACTCTTCATCCTTGTGACACAGCATTGAATTGGAAAAACCAAGCCCCTGTTGTCTTACTCTTAGTTAAAGGAGACAGATAGTAAAAGGATAAATATTAGATCACTTTAGACACAGGTAAAGGATGCAAAGGTAAAAACAAACAAGAAGACAGAGCAGAGAATGGGCTGGGAGCGAGTTTAGACTGAGGTTTGGGGAGATGTGAGAACTGACCAGCTGGATGGAGTCAGCCTTTTTGAGAATGTGGGAACGTGATCCAGGCAGAAGAGATGGTACGAAGGCCTCTGGATTGGAACTGCCTGGTGTTCAGGGACCAGGATGGGCAGCCTGGGTGGAGCACCAGGAGTCAGGGGTGTAGCGGACCGGTGCCCAGATCATGGAGGGCCTCAGAGGCCAAGGTCAGGGTTGGAATTTAGAGTTGCATAAAGGGAGGTCACAGGAGGATTTTTTTGGTGGGAGTGTGAGGACGTCTTAGAGGGTTTTAAGCAGGCCAGTGGTGGGATGAGTTTGCACCCAGGGCGCGTGTACACTCCAGCGGCCCTGCCCAGCTGGGGCTCCCAGCATGCTGCTCCCTGAGCCTCCCTTCTGTCAGCCGAGGTATCTGCCTCTTTGTAGCCCATCTAACAAGTGACAATATTTGGATTTCTAATTTTTATCAATCCCATGGATGAAGGTGACAGCTCATTGTTGTTTCTGAGTATTTTTATCCTGGTGACTAGTGAGTTTGAGTGTTTCTTTTTTTCTTTCTTTCTTTTTCTTTTAACATACTTGCTAGCTGTTGGATTAGAAATATCTCTTTCTGGCTGCTCACTGGAGGACTGACAGTTAAGGAGAGGAGCCAAGATGCAGGGTAGACAGCACACGATGGCTACACATGGTCTGGACAAGGGGGACTGGAGGCTGGGCTAGGATTGTGGGTGACTTTGATACATTTTGAAGGCAGAGCCAACAGGACATAGATGAGTGGTGAGGGTTGCGGGGATACATAAATCAAAGATGCCTCTCAGGTTTTTGGACAGAACAACTGGGTGAATGAGAAGAATATTGGTGAAAAGGAAGGTCTGGGATTGTTTGTTTGTTTCTCCTTGTTGGTAGGTGATGGAAATGGAGGCCTAATCTCTCTCTGGGTCTAACATTCTTTCCCTTCTGACCTCCCTTTTATACTGGATGACCCTCCCTGACTTTCATTTTCCATTTTGGAAACCCCATGCCTCCTGGTTTCTGGTCACTGGACTTCCTGGTTCTCCTTTCCCCCAGGGCCATTTCTCCACCCTGCCTGCCCTCTGCATGGAGGTGACTGTGGAGTCTACTCCTTCATTGTCCTCCTCTTCTGGTTCTCACTTCTCATGACTGCAGCCACCAGCAGACTCTGGCGCTGCCCTGTCTCCCTCCAGACCAGACCCTTTTTGGAGTGTCAGTCTCATATCTCTGATACCTCTAGGGAACCTGCCACTGGATGTCCCAGTACCATCTTCAGTGCAGAGTGTCCCCAAAGGAGCTCATTGCCATCTCCCGAAGCCTGATTCTTTGGCTGTGTTTTCTTCACGGTTCATAGTGACCATTACTTGCCAAGTCACACAGGATGCAAAATAGGGATTCCCATACTTCATTGAACCCAAGACTCACATTTCCCGCACTTGGTAAGATCTTTGAAATTGGCTTGTGTCTTACAATCAGAGACCTCTCAGTTGCTGTTGTAAACCAAGTGATTACAACTTGGTTTTTATTATTTGCACATTTGCAAACTTTGGCATTCAAGTTTGCATTGTAGGAACCTTTCCTTGTCAGTCTTTTGATTTATTTACAGAAATTATTTTGGGTGCTCTGCAGAAAATTGTTGAGTTTAATTACTGTTGAAAATGTCTTAGAAATATTATACTAGTATTTGGCATTGAATTGAAAAATTATTCTGTACAAGACGACATGGAGACAAGCAATGGGGCATCCATCAGACATCGGCGAAGCAATCATTCACTGTTGAAGAAATGGCCAATATTTCACATTTTCTTACAGAGAAACCACCAAGGACTTTACCTGACCCAAGGAAGGAAAATGCTCACCAGTAATGTTACCTTCTTTTTCCGAGGCAGCCTTCACTTGTGGCACAGCATCACTGAAGATAGTGTAAATTGCCAGCATTTTATTTTTCTGTTTTTCCTTAGTGGAAAATAAAGTAATGGTGCATTTTGCAATCAATGGAGTCTTAGGTTGGGTGAAATATGATAATTCTAGATGCTTCCTGCTATCAAATCCTGTTATTCCAACCCCCTAGCAGCTCTTGAATCTGACTGCCCCTTCTTATCCCCACTCTGCTGCCTTATTTCAGGTCTTCATCTCGTGCCTGGGCCCTGATGATAGCCTCCTAATGGTCTACTGGCCCCCAGGCTTGTCTCTACCAATCACCCCTCACATTGCTGCTGGAGACGGTGTGACTAATGCACAAAGCTGGTCATTCTTCAGCTTCTTGTCGCCAGCAGCTAAACTCCTTCATGTCTCCTTAAACAGGGCCCTGTCTTCTTGTCGACCTGTCTCTTCACGTGTCCAGTCCCTGCTCACTCTTCCTCAATCTGATCTCCTGCTGATATGTCAAATGTGCTATGGACCCTGGATGGCCCTTCTCCTCCTGCTTATTCCCTAGTCCCACCCCCACTTGTGAACTCCCACTCATCCTTTGAGTCCCAACCCCAGGGTCAGCTCTTCTCTGAAGCCCTCCTTTATTTCCTCCCCCAACCACCACCATTCACCAGGTAGAGCCGACCACTCCCTTCCATACTGTCTTCCTTCAGACTCGTAAATGTACCAGACTAGAAAAACATTAAGTATATTTTTTGTATAGAATTCAACAGAATATTGGATAGCCATTTAAAAGGATGCTGATAAAGAGTTTTAAATAACACAGAAAGATAATGGATGATAAAGTGAAAAATCTAGATGCCAGGCGTACCTGTACTCTGGTATCAAATGTATTTGTGTAGAAAAAATATTAATATGTAAAAATGTCATAGTGATTTTTCTCTTGGTGATGGCATTAAGGATGATGTTTGTTCTTTTATGAATCTAATTTTTAAGTGGGTAGTAATTGCTTTCCTAATGAGGAGAAGTATTAAGAACTCTCCTCCCATAATTGGGAAATTGCGAAGCCCAGGTCTTATGCCCTTCTGTCGCTGTCGCTTAGCTTGCTCTTTCTGCTATGGCAGGTTTTATGGCCGGAAGATGGTGAATATCTTGATGGCCAATGCTAAGTTTGATGCATTTCTGAAGCAGTCCCTCCCGTCACATGACTTGCGGAAAGTCATGGCAGCCATCAAGCAGCGGGTGAGTCGGTGGAGTGTGACTCCGAGTCTTTGGGGGCAGAGCAGAGCCTGGTGGCCCTCAGTGGGTCCGGGGAGTAGAGAGTGGATTCCAGAGCTTCACTTTCATTCGTTGCCCCTGACAGGTGGGATAAATGTGGCTTCTGCCCCTGTGCTCATTCCTAGTTCTGCCCCTCCCTGCCTAAAACTTCCTTGAACTCCCTGGGCCTACACATCTTCATCTGCTAAGGGGGGATCTTGTCTCTGTCCTGCAACCTCCAGGGCTCTGGAAAGCTCAGCTGTGGCCTCTGGAGCTCTCCCAGGCAGAAGGGGTGATCCCTCATGTTGTAGTCTATACCAGACTGGTGGGCAGTTCCCTAGAGGGCAGCTTCTTTTAGCTCATGTTTGGTGTGTCTTTTTTTCAAGGGGACAGAAGATAATCATGAACTTCCATCTGCCAAAGGTCGAAAGGTGTTGAGGAGTCTGGTGGCATATGAGAACGGCCTACCCACCGAGGACAGGTATGGCTGCTCTTGTCTCTCTGGGGTTTCATGTTCAAAACTGCCAACAGAAGCATCTTGCTTGCCCATGGTCCGGGGTTGCTCTGGGGTAGAGGTGTGGATCTGGTGTACAGCTGAGACCTAATTGGGTCTGCAGTACAAATGGATAGTTTCAAAAGAAGTGTTTCTCCACCCACATCTTGGGCAGACCAAATGGAAGCTGGTTTCTGCAGGCTTGGCCAAGGGAGTGCCCTTCTGCAAGTGCAGGTGGGGCTTGTTGGTCTGGCCCTGTGTGAGGTCAGCTTCTCTTCATTCACTTAGATCAGCAAATCCTTTGGGCACCAGATGTGAATGCGCAAGTAGGGCATGGCCAGGGCCTGGGGTGGGGGGCCCTGGATTAGTTCAGAGACAGAGCTGGGACACAGCAGGCCAGAAAGCCTGGGCTGAGGGGTTGGAGGGTGGATCCTGGGAGCAATTAGAAACCAAGCAGGAATCCCATGGTCATTCTCTAAAATTTAGCCATTCTGCCTTGTCTTGGGAGGATGCCATCTGAACTCAGCAGGACCTCAGAAGAAGGCTCACCCCCTCTTCAGTAGCAGCCTCCCGCTTTCTCACACTCAGCCAGGAGCTCCAATTCCAGCCTTCTTCCCTGCTGTGCCTTTGTTTAGGTTTTGCAGTCTTCACCTGGACCATGCCTATTGGCCTAACAGGCTCAGCTCACTTGTTGTCTTCTCTCAGATGCTCTCTGACACTCTGTACTCTCCTCACCCCATCCTCAGGGTGGACAGCTGCCCCTCTCCTTTATGACTGTCTTCTCTTGGTCCATGACCGCCCTAAGGCAAACACTGTGCTTCTGGTCGTTCTAGTGCTCAGCACAGCTCTTAGCACTAAGTAGGCCAGACTGTGAGGAGTAGGAATGAATGACAGATTGGATGATGCGGAGTCCTTTTGGCTGGGACCTGGGTATAGGGCATGACTCAGTGACCCTGACTTTGAATGTGAGGTGGCAGTTTTCTACTGAGCTGCTCTTGTGCTGATTCAATTAGGCCATGGGGCTCAGATGGGCATGTGATCCAAATGTCAGGGAACAGAGCTTTATAACATTTCCCCAGTTACTAGAGGAATGAGAGCAGACCCTGGCCAGCAGGTGCAGGATCCAGCTACCAGGTAGAAGGTGGGTCCTGATGACCTTAAAGACCTTTCTCCAGTCTTGGGTTAAATGTGCATCAGTTGGAGCTCAGTAGTTGAGCACTAGAATGTGTGAGCCTCTGGGTCCAGCACCACAAAAGAAAAAAAGAAGAAGAAAAGAAATGGGTACCAGTCATCTTCTCGTGAACATTTACCTGTCACTCCAGCCTTCCCCGCCAATTTTGCACATGTCTTCTGAAAGGAGGGGGAAAAGGCAGGAAGAGAGAGCTCTGCCTCTGGCAAGAGGATGGGGTCCTAGGCAACCACATCATTGTCCCCTGGGGAAGAGACTTTCAGAGTTCTCAATGCCAGTGTCCCCAAGCGGCGGGTAGAGGAGAAGCTTGGGGTGGACCAAGCTGCAGGTGCTCATCCAGTGGGATGGCATGTGGTACAAGATGTATGTTCATCCCTCCTTCTGCCTAGGCTTGGCTCCAATGGCCCACGGCGGGTGGGGTTGCGCTCCTCGGCGTGGGGAGGTGTGGAGGCAGAGGAGCAGCTGCGGGAGCTGGTGAGGCTACTGGAGGCCAAGGAGTACCAGTCGCGGATGGATGGTGTGGGGCGGCTCCTTGAGCACTGCAAGACCAAGCCAGAGCTCATTATTGCCAACCTGGTCCAGGTGAGCACTGCCCACCCTGCCCTCTGGCCTCTCTCTCTTTTGTGGGTGCAATTTCAATTTGGAAAACTCTGAACCAGGGTTGGACATTGTGCCATACCTCTCAGGGTGGAAGGGGCCTGCTTTCCAGTTGGTCTTGTAATGCCAAATGGGGACCTGAGGGGTTGACCACACCTTTGAAATGCTCAGAGGTAACTTGGGTGTCTCATCTGTCTGACAGATTAATAATGAGGAAGGTAGGAAGTACAGGTAGAGGGCACCTTGGGGGAGGTCTTGGATTGCTTTTGGTTAATTATTTCCATAATGTATGGAGGCAGAGCCTGTGGTTGGACCATGACGGATGGAGAGGTGGATCAGGGGTAGGTATAGCCTTTCACAGGTGGAACACCAGGGTGAATATCTGCTTCTTCCTGGAGCAGGATTGCTGGCAGTCACTCCTGAGGCAGAGTAGGGGCAGGCGGGGTCAGCAGACTTGGTGTCCATCCAGGTTACTCACTAGCTGTGTAATCTGAAGCACAGCATTTAATCCCTTGGAGCCTCAGTTGTTGTTTATGGGAAAGGGGGATAACACGTACCTGTGGTTGTCAAGGTCATTCAGAGGAAGAGCCCGGAGGACCTCCATGATGTAAAGTTGGCAAGCAAGGAGTGCCCAGAGCATGTTAGTTCCTCCTTCTTGCCCATCTTCCCCTTGAGGAGATGAGCTCTCCACAATTGGGAATGCTCTGGAAAGGCTGGAAGACCCCTTTCGAGGATGCTGGGGAAGTCTTGGCCAAGGGCAGTTGGTCAGGCTAGGTGAACTCCAGGGTCCCTGGCTCCATGGGACTCCCTCTCAGCTTGAGCTCCCACAGGCTCTTGGCTTTTGTTCCCTCAATAGGTCTTTGATGCGTTCACTCCAAGGCTTCAGGATTCCAACAAGAAAGTGAACCAGTGGGCCCTGGAGTCCCTTGCCAAGATGATCCCCCTCCTCAAACACAGCGTGCATCCCATGCTGCTCTCCCTCATCATGGCGACTGCAGACAATCTCAACTCAAAGAACTCGGGGATCTGCACCGCTGCGGCTGCTGTGCTGGATGCAATGATGGAGAGCCTGGGTGAGCGTCCTGCTTGGGCTGTGGGGCTCTGACTCCCGAGTCACCACATGCACATTCTTGCTTGGGAATCATCATAGTGGTGAATGGCCCTGGTTGGTTCTCAGGCCAAGAGCCTCCCCAGAGGCTCTGCAGGCCAGGTGTCAGCAGGGGCGCTGAGGCTCTGTCTGGAGCCTTCTCCATGTCCTATCCACCCAGGCGCCAGATGGTTAGAGGTGGAGGAGATGTGGAGATGACTTGGTCTAGCCTCCTCATAGCCACACAAAGGAAATGGCTCCCCCAGGGCCACATAGCACCATGGCTGCTGAGGGCTGGACAAGGCTCGGCTGGGGAGGGTGTGGTGATGGGCAGAGAGGGAGGTTGAGGGGATTGGAATTTGGGTGGAATTTTTGGTCCAAGTCTTTTTCCCCTCTCATGGGTTATTAGAAGGTGGTATCTGGTGTATCCAGTATATAGATGGAAGTGCAAGTTTAAAACTTCAGGTGTGCCGAGGAAGTAGGAAGTAGGAAGTAGACTTATGTCCAAGCCAGAGAGTAGTGAGTTTTCACAAACAAGTCTCCCTCGGTGCGAGGAAGCTTCTGATCTGAAAATCGCCTTTGTCGGCCTTGTTGCTCTGCGTCCTAACCAGCACAGGGCCATGTTTCGCCTTGGCATTCACTGAACAGCCCACCAGGAGGCTGGAAATGCCTGGCACATTTGTCCCTTCCTGCTCTCCGTGCCCTGGCTGGAGCCCAGCTCCTGGGGCTGGGATAGCAGCTGTGTCCTTGACTGGAACCACCAGGAGGAGTTTCAGTTACAAATCAAAGGCCTAGTGAAGCCCTTCTCTATCTCTTGAGTTCATAAATATTGTCAATTTCCACATTTCATCTCAGAGGGAATTTATGATTTGCTGAGTTTGTTGCTGTAGAACAAACGATATAAATCCAGCTCTAAATTATGGTTTGTTCTCAGCACTGCTCTGGGAAAGTGAGATTGCCGTTGCCAATAACCTAGCTCTTGGTAAATCACCATGGGCCCTGGATTTATTGGGATAACCTGCACCAAGCGGAATGCACTTTAGCTATTTGAAGAATATGACACCTGAATCATGGGAGAGGAGTTTTAACTCTTTCTCCCTCATGTGTTTCAGTGTCAGCTGTTTGCCCATGGGTCAGTCCCCTTGAGCACAGTGGAGTCTGGAGCTTTAGTTAGTAGAATATGGGGTCTCCTATGGTGATAAGACTCAGGTCCCCTTTACTCAGGGTCCTGTTTTCTACCCACCTGGATTGGGCACCCTGGAAAGTGGGGAGCCTGGAGATGGCCTGTGTGTATCAGTTCATTTTCTGTTGCTATAACAAAATAGCTGAGGCTTTTATAAAGAAAAGAGGTTCGTTTAGCTCACAGTTCTGGAAGTTCAAGAGGATAGTATCAGCTTCTACTCATCTCTAGTGAGGGTCTCAAGGAGGATGGGTGGATGGCATCACAGTAGTAAGAATGCATACAAAAGAGATTATATGGTGAGACAAGAAAACAGAGATGGGGGCTGGGGAGAACCAATCCTGTTCTTTTTGTGACAACCCACTCTCATGGGATCTAACTTCTGAGGGGCAGTTCCCTTAGTGACCAAACTATTGTCCACTGGGCCCCACTTCTTTTTTTTTAAATATTTATTTTTTAGTTTTCGGCGGACACAACATCTTTGTATGTGGTGCTGAGGATTGAACCCGGGCCACACGCATGCCAGGCGAGCGCGCTACGGCTTAAGCCACATCCCCAGCCCGGCCCCACTTCTTAAAGGTTCTGCAACCTCCCAACATTTCCACACTGAGAGCCAAGTTTCCAAAACATAAACTTTGAGGGGACAAACTATATCCAAATCAGAGCAGTCTGCTTTGTGTTCTGACCACACCTTGAGGCAGAGTTGCCACTACCAGGAAGATGCCTGCGGTTTCCCCTTCCTTCTGGGACAGGGTCTCCTTGGATGTGACTGACAGTTCTCCTTCTGGCCATCAGCTAGAGGCTTCGGCCTGGGCAGGGTGGAGGCAGGCGTGAGGGGGCTGACTTCCTCTCTAATCCTCAGATCAGTGCTCCGGCTGGCATGGAATGGTGTTGGCCTCAAAGGGCTGAATGAGCTAATAAATTCCTGGCCAGGGCTCCTGTGGATCCTCTGGAGTGAAGTCCCCTGCTTGGCTCTGGGCGACTTGGGGTGGAGTGATAATGAGCTATCTGGGTCAGAAGGCTCTGCTGGGCTCCGCATCCTTTCTGTCCAACCAGAAATGTTGGTTTTGAAAGTGTTCTTCACCATCTGTCGAGCTGATTTCTGTGTGCACGTGGGCCAGAGCCTGAGGGGTTCAGGTGAGCAACAGGGAGAGTTCATCACTGCCAGCGAGGACCCAGGGTAGAATCAAACTGTCGTCTCCAGGAATGGCTCTCATCTGCTGGAGTGGTCTGAGCCTGGCTCAAAGAGGGAAGGATGGATTCAAGGACCTAAGCTTCCCATTACCCAGGGGGTTGGGTGGTAGCAGCAGAGACCCAGGCAGGTGGGGACAGAAGAGAAGGGGCGGATGTCTTCCTCAATCGCCCCAGCAGAGCCTGGGGGTTCTAGGGGTTCTTAGGGACCCCTCCGGGAGGCAGCTTGGAGCCCTCTGATGGAGGCGTTTTCTCCAAGCTTGCTTCTTCATGCCCTCCCAGGGATCCTAGGGTCCAGACTGGAGACGGACCATGAGATGCCATGATGTTAAAGTGTGAAAAGTCACAAAGCAACAGCTCTGCTAATTACAGGGCCATGGGGATCCAGAACATGAGGTTCTGGGCCATCTTCTGACATTAAGAAAATAGAGATGGCATAACCAGATGGGCAGGTGGACCTTTTTCCAGACCTCTTAAGATCCCTCTGGATCCTGGAGTTCCTGATGAAGAGGACTCATGAGCCAAAGTTGTCTCTCATAGCTCCTTGGTTTTCCTGAGTGTGGGTGGGGTTGAGGGATGTGTTGGTGGACAGAGCAGGTGGGGATTTCTGCCCCTGTCTTTCTGAGGGGCACTGAGGGAGGAGACACATGGGACAGCTTTTCCCTGACCCTGACCTCTGCCATTTGTCTTTGTCCTGGGGCCTCTCAGGTCTTGAGGCTCTGCGGCACCTTTCTTACTCAGCACCAAAATCTTTGGATTTCTGGGGAGTTCTTCTGGGGATTAAGGATGTTCTTGAGCAGACTGGCCCTGTCTTTGGACTCAGTTACTGGGTTAGTTACGGAAGAAACTTCACTAATCAAAACCTCAGGCTGCCAGTGGCTCAGCCTTTCGCAGATGACCTTTGCATTCAGGTTTCTCAGAGCCCAGAGGAGCTCTCTTAAATTAGCCCAACTCCTGGCCAGGGCTGGAGAGAGCAGATAAGCTGGAATAGGGAAGGCTTCAGACCTACTTTCCCTACTTCGCTCTCCCGATTTTAAGCTTATTACCTTATATAAATCATATGACCAGCACTGTATTATTAATGGAATTAAAAAATTCATCCATGATGCCTCTCCATCATAGCAACTGCCAAAAAATAGACCTATCCTCTCTTTCTTGTCTACCTGTGTAAGTTTCCCTAATTACACATCATAATGTAAAGATAATTGTTAATGCTTTTGGTTAGCACTACCCAGTTTCCCCATGCCTTTATATATAGTCTGTCTAGTTAACTTGAAAATATAAAGCTTGCCTTCACGTGGTAAGAGTGTTATTTATTAATTACAGAGAAAATGGGGAAAAAAAGCATTTGAAAGGAAAAAAAAAAAAGAAAGCAATTCACTTAGAGTTAGTGTCAATTCCTAAAAGAAACCATTATTAGTATTTGGTGCTTTTCATTTTTGATGTTTTTCTGTGCATATTTGCAAACTTGCATATCCATTTGAATTTGCATCCTGCTTTAAACAAATCAGAGCATGAAAATTTGCATATGATTACACATTGGAGTCCCTTTTAGCAGCTCCGTCTTGTGACGGTGCCATAGCTGGCTTGGGTGGATCATTCCAAGTTTTTTTCCTGAGATAAACACACCTGGTTTGGGCAGCTCTGGAGAACTGTGGCATTCCTTTACTGAGTTTCATGTTTATTTCAGTTTGATTCCAGCTTCTTTTCACTGCCAGTGTATACATTGCCATTTTTTAAAAAACACCTTTCTTTCTTTTTCCCTTTGGTATTGGGGACTGAATCCAGGGAAGCTTTGCCTCTGAGCTATATCCCCATTCCTTTTTATTTTTATTTTGAGGTGGGGTTTTGCTAAGTTGAGACTGGCCTCAAACTTGCAATCTTCCTGCCTCAGCCCCCTGAGTTGCTGGGATTACAGGTATGTGCCCACTTGCTCAGCTTGTATTTTCTTACGAGATCTTCTCTGGCTTCCAAGCATCCTCAGGATGATGTAGCCTGGTGGCCTCAGAGTTTGACTGAATGGAACAGATGTGAGGCCTCTAGACCTTTACCACATTGTAAAGGAGTGATCCTGAGCCCTGGGAGGACAGGGTCTTTAGCCTCTGAGCCAATGGCTATTTTCTCTGCATTGTAGCTTTTAAAATATTCTCTTTGTTGCAGGGTCAGTGTTGGCTTCCTTGTGAGGCAGAAGAGTCTAAGGACACTCGGGCTAGGCTAATGTAGCATCAATTTTAAACTTTCAAGAGTTAGATTCTAGCCTCTTAATTGATTTCTCTACCCTGAAGTTTGCTTGGCTTTCAGAGGATTTTAGAGTAATAAACATAATAGTAAGAACAATAGCTGAAGCTTATGTAGTAGTTAGGATAGGGGTAGTGTTAGAGTTATATGCTCTAGGCAAGGTCTCATTTAATCCTTGTAACAGAAAGGTACTAGGATCATCCCTATTTTATAGAGGGGCAAACTGAGGCACAGAGAGAATAAGTGGCTTGTCCAATGTTACACAGCAAAATGTGGAAAACCCAGGATTTAAACTTGGGCGATCAGTACCCAGAGCCCATACCTTTTTCCCACCGTGCTTTATGGCCTCTTATTAAACCTGGGCATGACCCAAAAGGTGAGCCTTTGTTATGAAAGTGACCAGAGAAAGATAGAGCAACTGCTGTGGCATGGTGCTCTACTGTTTCAGCATTGCCCTGTACTCTGCAAGCATTTATCAAGCACCTATTGTGTGCTAGGTGCCTGGGAGCATGGTCTGGTACAGATGTCTGCTGGCTGTGCACATTCAAGCACCCTCTAAGTGCATGTCTTTCTAGACCTGGGAGGCCATGTCAGAGGCCAGGGGCTAGACCGAGCATTGTAGGAGGTGGATGCACAGGGAGAAGTCCTGCCTCTTCAAATGTGAACTTGTTCAATGATGAGGGCAGGTGGAACAAATGGAAGCACCTGGAGGCAATAGTACAGTTGGTGATGACATAAGCCTATTACACAATCACGACTTTACCAAGACACCCCGCGACCACTTCTTACTAACTGAAATATTCTAGAAATTGGCATCTTTTTCTCTCCTAGGACAAATCATTTTAAAGACTCTTTGTTGCCTTGTGGATGGAGCTTTGGCAAACAGCAGAGAAGCACCTGTGAACACCTCCTTTTTTGCATCCCTCACAGACCTTAGGACGGGAGCCAGGGAAGCGGGAATTAGCTCTTAGCTAGATTGTGGTCCCACGGGAGAAGCAGAACTATGAGAACACATCTGTGAGGATGCTGGGGCTCCCTGCTCAGCCCTGGAGGAACTGGGAGAAGGTGGGACTGTCTGTAAAGGGGCCTCAAGCAGGTCTCTAGACTCAGCGCCCCACCCCAAGAGAAGTTCGGCTTTGAGATATGGGTTCCTGGCCCCCAGGTGCTATGGTTTGAAGGCCTCCTCCAAAGCTCATGTTGACATTGAATGACCATTGTGAAGGTATTAAAAGGTGGGCCCTTCGAGAGGTGACTAGGTCAGAGGGCTCTGTCCTCATGAATGGATTAATGCTGTCATTACAAGGGTGGGTTATTATGGGGGTAGGTTCCTGATAGAAAGGATGCGTTGGTGCCATTTCTATCTCTGTCACACACACTTATTTGCTCTTCTGCCTTCTGTCATGGGATGATGCAGCACCCAGCCCCTTGCTAGAGGCTGGAACCAGGCTCCTGGACTTCCCAGCCTCTAGGTCCTAGAGCCAAATAAAACTTTTGTTGCTTATAAATTACCCAGTCCTTAGTTTTCTGTTATAGCTGCATAAAATTGACTAAGACACCAGGGTGTACTTGCTGGGACACTGGGACACCAGCCTCCCACCCACTCTCCTGACAGGTGCAGGCAAGCCGCATCCATAGCCACATCCCAGAAAAATGCATCTCATTACTTGCCTAAGCTCCTGTTCAATTATGCCGGGACTGCTGTGATTGCAAAATGCCAGGAGCTTGGCATGCTGGGGCCACCATGGCTCACAGTAGAGGCCATGTGGCAATAAAGCAGAATGGTCCAATTTCCCACATTTCTCTGTGAGCACACTTTCTCAGTAAGGGGCCACTTTCCCCACCTTGGTGTATCTGTGAGGAACAAGGGACTTCAAACTAATCATTTGAGAAGCCAAGGAACATCAGTTAGATGTGGGGAGGAATGAGGTGCTTCTAAATTCAGTACACATGAGCTCCAGCTGCAGTTGGCTTTAGAAATACAATCCAAGAGGCCAAGAGCCTTTGTGTCCTAGAGACACCCCACCATGTTTGTATGTGATTTCACAATTAGTGGTTCATCTCTGCCATAAATACTTGCACTATTTTAATGTCTTTCAAGATACAAGCAGGGAGGTGCTCAGTGCTAGTACTTCACCCCTGGGTGTGGCTGCAGGGGGTAGTTGGGTGAGCTGTGCCCCTGGGCTGGGTGTGGCGGCTGGACAATTAAAGAAAAGAGGTTCAAAATCCCTCTTTTCCCCAAACCTCCTGAAAGATGGATTAGGATATATGGAAGGTAAACTTCTTTCTCCACCTGAGTTACACTCACTTTGTTGTTGGATTATATGTTCTTGTAGGGCCTGGGCCTCAGACTACTTGAGTTTAAAAAGCAAGGAAGAAAACAGTGAGATTAGATATAAGCTCATGTTTCCTCAATCTGTAAAACCACCTCCTGTGGCCTCACCAGAGCTGGCTAGGTGAATCTGCTCCTGATAGCATGATCAGTCAACCTGGGTCCTTGGATCCATACTGTCACTGCTAGAGCAGGGAGAATGTTGGGCAGACCAAATCCAGCGGGTCACCCTGGCTCCAGACCCCAGACTGTGGTTACATGAGCACAGAGCCGTCTAAGCTGGGTCAGGTTCAAGGTAAGGTCTCTCCTTGTCAAAGGAGCCTCCTCAGGGGGTCAGGGTGGACCGCATTTTACTTCGTTCATAGCTCTGTGCTTATTACATAAAGGATTTCAGCAAGTGTTCAGTGTGGAAATAAATGAGCATCTGGTGTGGGTATGCCCTATTGATTGGACCACAAGTTCAAGTTTCGAGGAGAGCCATGACTTCTAAATTCTAACCCCAACCCTTTACTGACCTTTGTGTGATCATGGCTCAGTGCCTCAGTTTCTCCTATAACTCTATATTTATATATCCTTCTATCCATCATCTGTTTATCAATAGTCCATCTATCCTCTTTTGCCCCCAAATTCACAGCAATTTTGAGAATCATGAACAATATAAACTAGCTCCATGGGAGTAAATGCAGACATTTGGGAGCCTGCATAACTCTTCCAAGGTATTCCTCTTCCCCAAACACCCAGCATGCATTTACTTTTTACTGTGACCTGGAAACATTTATTGGGCTTTCCAAAATGCCTTTTCCCCTTGCTGGCTTGTGGGTGCCTGGCACTGTGAATGCCTGGTGCTGTCTCAGCCCGCGGCATCACGGCCACTGAGCTCTCCGTCTCTTTCAGACCACCTTTGCCTCTTACCAGCGTTTGCCGGGAGGGTGCGCTTCCTGAGTGGCCGCTCAGTCCTGGATATCACAGAACGCCTATCAGGTGAGACTGCCCTAGGCCACCCAGCCATCTGTTCATCTCTGGATGCTTTTTGGGCATGAGGTAACCACAGATTATTTAATTGAATATTTTGTGACAGTCTCCACATTGTCAGAAGATAATCTTTTGTTTGGGGTCAAAATGATGCAGGTATGTGCATAACCACATAGTTTTTTAAGAAACTACTATGCAGTTCTTCCTCCTTGCAAACCAGGATTCCTCTGGGCCATTGAGTGTCTTTGTGTGAATCAGAAAAAGGGCCCAGCTAGACCCTGCCTGCTGGAGGCATGGTTTGATGCCTCCATAAAACAGTATTATCGCGAGAGTTAAAAAATCTGCCCCTTCTGAGGCCTGGTGAACAGGGCGTGGGCTGGATCTAAGCCTGCTCAGCCCCTGGCTGAGTGCTGGACCCATATCACAGGAGAGTGGGGCCTCAGACTGAATCTCTCTACCGGTTCCAGCTGCAACTGAGGAAAGATTGCTCCAACCAATCCTACCTGGGCTTGGATTCTGCAGGATGAAGTCCCAGGTGATTTCATTCCAGGCCTGGTTCCTGCCTCTGTGGCCTTGAGGTGCAGCACAGAAAGGGCAGAGTCTGTGGGGGTCTGTGGACCCATTTGTCTCCCACTAGTACTCAGCTTAGTTTATCATCTCTTTTGTTTGCCAGTCCTCCTCTCAACCATGGGAGGGTTCCTTCTTTGGAGGAGGCAGGAGGACTGTCTGTACCTTGGCTCCAGGATCACGGAGACATATCATGCTATGCCCCCATTATATCCTCCAGAGGCTCCCAAACTGCCTTAGGAGACCCTTCAGCACCTCCTGGGGTAGCCTGGCCCTGTTTTCTTCCCTGGGTCACCTTGGGCCCATCCCCAGTCACATGCCCTGGGTCATTTAATCTGCACAACAAGCCCTCAAGAAGACAGTTCCCAAAAGTCTCCTTTGGGTAGAGACAAGAAAAATCAAGCTCACAGAGGTTAAACACCCAAGGTCCTTTGGTGAGTCATCCAGGATTTGTCCCCAGGAGGCCCCGCCTTTGTCTCCTGGGTGCCAGCTTGCCACCCTTGTCTCCTCAGGCCCTTGCCTGCCCACTTGATGCCCCTCGTGTGGAAAACCAACTTCTTTCTCCCCGAGTGACACCCACTTTGTCCTAGCCTGGTCCCCTCTGTTTCTTTTCTCTGTGTACTTCTCAGGAGTGCGTCCATGTAGTATCATACATCTGCTCCTCCTCCAGGGCCTTGTGGCCTTGGGCACTCAGGGGTACTTGGCACAGGTGGCCTCAATAAGGATCCTGGTGCCAGTTACTCATCTGGTTTATCCTCTGTTCCCTGGTCTTGCCTCTGCTCTTTGGTTCAGTTCACCCTGTGTTGCTGGAGTGGCTTCCTACCATATATCCAGGTGTCAGACCTTCCCCAAACAGGTGCGACAAGTGAGGCAGGGTTGGCCGCAATGGCAGCCACAGAGCAACGCTGTGGGTGCCCTGAGGCAAGAGTAGGGGCATGGAACTAAGACCGCCCAGGAGACCAGACCCTTTTCTGTTGCTCAAAATCAGTGTTCTCTGAGGGAAACCCTTACCAGTCCTGTGTAGGTTACTTAGGGGGCACAGGGGTGGGTGAGTAGCCTCACTTTCTCCACTGACCATAATTTTTTCTCATCTATTTCCAAGAGACCTCAAAGGCACAAGTTTCTCCAGAGCTCTTCTGCTAACTTGGTGTTGTCTAGGAACAGAGAAGAAAATTTCCTTTGACACAAAGCATAGACTAAGAATAGCACAGCTTAATAGGAGTAAATCTTCTGCTAATGACTTCAGCTGCCTTTTAAGCTTGAGCGTAATGGGGTTTGCTCCCTCACCATGGCTCACAGAAGGGCTCCTGGGCCTTTGCAGTTGGAGAGACAGACCCGGGCAGCCAGGTGACTCTGCATCCCTGTACCTGGGGAATGTAGCTCCGAGGCAGCTTTGTATTGTTAGCAGAGTGTGAACAGAGGAGGTGCATGGGCCTGAGGCAGGAGGGCTGCTGCTCTTTTGGGGTCTGGGTGTCAATGCACCTTATTGCTCTGGGAGAGGAGGGATATGGCAGTAAATGCACTTAGGGTAACTTGGCCATAGCCCAAAGGCAGAGACGCCCCTCCTGGAGACCTGGGATACCCTTTAATGTGCTTTGACATGACTTGCTCTGATGTTGGAGGCCTGGGTGCAGGATCAGCTGGCTTCTGGGTATTCTTGGGCTCAAGAGGTTGAGGGGACTCAGGGCGTTCATCACTGGAAAGGAGGGTCTGTGCAGAGCCTGATGGTTTACAAACATGTTCACACGTCATGGACTTCTGCTGGTCTTATCATGAAGTTTGACCAGATACTGGGGGCCATGCTGGCCTCGTCCCCTGCTAGATGTTTTCACTGTGAATAAGTCTTGACTTTTGTCCCTAGCACAGCTTTTCTTTGTTTGTGGCGACTTTCATAGGTGGCATTGTGGATTAATGCAATTTTAATATTAGGCTCTATTTGTCACCTGTCTACCTAAAGCTGGACAGTTGACACATATTTATCAAATTTCTAACAATTTTGAAGTTGTTCAAGATTGTTATCAAGGATTCAGGATTGTTATCCTGACTTTACAAGTGTATAAAAGGCTCAGAAAAGTTGGGTGTCTTCCTCAGGTTCACACGACTAGTAGAGGCAGGATTGTAACCAGGGTGCCTGCCTCCCCCACCCCCATACTGCAGAGACCTATCATGGTCATGGACTCTGTGCATGTTTGCCTTTGCCTATTCCTTTTTCCACAAAAAAATAAAAAGCATATTTCCTAATTGGTTGATGTAAATATGAACATAAACCAGTTTGGATATATTCATCTTTGTTTTTTTCTGATGCTAAAATAAACTAAAACATTTTCCTGGGTCCCTAAATGTGCCATGATCCTTGGACATTGTGCATGGGAAATTCAGCCCCTCTAGCCTGCTTGCCCTTTGAATGACAGAGTCGGTCTCCCAAGAGAGGGCAGTGGGAGGGGAGAGGGTTCCCCAGCTTATGTGACCCTTACTCTTTTCTTCCTGACAGTGCTGGTGGCCTCAGTTTATCCCCAAAAGCCTCAGGCTGTGGAGCGGCATGTTCTTCCTGTCCTCTGGTACTTCCTGAACAGCCTGACCCTGACTGGAAATGGCATCCTGCCTGGGCGTGGTGGGAATGTCCGCACGGTGGTGTGTCAACTGTCTCGGAGCCTCCAGGAGCAAATGGGCTCCCGCCTGCAGGACTTTGCCATTGGGCAGCCAAAGCAAGTCCTTAAAATGCTCCAGGAACTCTTAGACACAGAATCCCCAGGAGGCGGCCACAAGGTCACCAACAGGGAGACACCACCTGACAGCAAGATGACTGGCAGCTCATGCTGATTTCAGCTGGATTAAAGATGGGCCTGAAATGGGCCATTGTTATTTTTTACCTTATTTTATTTTTATGATGGAATAATCTCCTGGTCTACTTTCCCCTTAGAGTCCCAGATGTACACAGTATATTTTGAAGTAGAAATAGAAGAATTTGTTATTTTTCTAAGGTTTTCTTATCTTGCATTTTGTAACCTCAGAGAATTTTGCAATAGGTGGGTTTATGAAACAAACAAAATGAAACACGAAAACAGCGAAATTTGTTGCAGATGAAATTGAGACAAAGAACAAGGGAAAAAAAAAGGGTAGCTATTATGGTGTGGGTACGCGGTGTTCCCTGAAGGCTCATAATAAGATTGTGAAAGCTGTAAACTAATCAGGGGATTGATCCATTTGATGAATTAATCCATTTGATGGATTAATAATTTGAAAGGGCTGTTGTGCTGGGTGGTAAGTGTGGGCAGGTGGGGTATGGCTGGAAGAGGCGGGTCACTGTGGACATACCTCCCTCTTTCTTTCTGCTTCCACCTGTCATGAGCTTCTCTAAACCCTCTGACATGACGTTCGGCTTCATCTTGGGCCCAGAGTGATGAGTTCCACCAACCACAGACTGAATCTCTTGAAACGGAGCCAAAGTAAACATTTCCTCCTCTAAGCTATTCTTGTCAGGTATTTGATCAGTGATGAAAAGCCAGCTAACACAGTAGCACAGGCCTACGTGCTGTAGGTCATTCATGGGTGGAACCTCTGTGAGCAACCAGACATGAAGACCTCTTAAGACCCAGAGCCCCACAATTTTTCAGTTTAATCTGGTCCATTTGTTATGGGTCAAATTAGAGGTAAATGTAACAAGAATCTCTAGGAACCTTGCACTTCTCTCTGGCAAAATCTTCAGCACAGCATCTATTGATCCTATGGGAACCTTCTGGTAGGATCTGCTTATCTTGTCAAAAGGCAAGGGGAATGTGACATTTGTGTCAAGAAAGCTTTCTATAGACATTGGCAGCATGGCTTGCTCTGTTAAGGACCATAGCTACAAGGTACTTCAGTCTTGAAACTTTGCAAGTAGCAACGCTTGGTAGAGCTTGGAGTGCTTTGTATTGTGCTATAAGAACCCAGGGACATAGTGTCTCTGAAACTGGGCCGATGACTGCAGTTGGGCTGAATCACAATGGTGGAGAGGTATGCAGGGCACAGCATGGGCCAGGACGTGAGGAAGCAGAGAGAGGTGTCAGTCACTGAGATCCTAGCAGGGGGAGGGGATAGTCTGTTGTGGACTCAGGCTCTGGACACAGAAGGGGTAGCTCTGACTTGGCGGGGCCAGTGGCAGGTTAACAACGTGTGACCAGAAAGAAGTAGAGCTCAGGTCATTCAAACACAAGGGTGGGACACACTGGTAAGGTGAAAGCTGAAGGGGTGACAGCTCAGCAAGTTTTCTGTTGAGCCCCACCAGAGGAACTCCTGTCCACTGTCACCTGCCCCCAGGTGTGACATCAGTTCCATACCACCTTTCTTCTTCTTCTTCTTCTCTCTCTCTCTTTTTTTGGTACTGGGGATGGAACCTAAGGGTCCTTTACTACTGAGCTACATCCCCATACTTTTTATTTTTTTATTTTGAGACAAGGCTTTGCTAAATTGCTGAGGTTGGTCTTGAACTTGCAATCCTCCTGCCTCAGCCTCCCGAGTCACTGGGATTACAGTGGGTGCCACCATGCCCAGCTATTCCATACCACCTTTCTAACTCCTTCCTGGGGTGTGTGACCCTGAGAGGCCTTATTGCAGGGCAGAATTCAGAGGGGCCCTCCTTATACCCTGGGGTGAAGTTGGACACTTGCAAGTCACCCTGGATTTTGGCTTTCAATAGACTGCTAAAGCGTGACTTTGAATAATTCCAGTCTCAGTGTGAACTACTTCTCCTCCGATAGTAACCCAGCAGGGGCTTCCCTGATAACCACCTTCCTCTTGATCAATCTGGCTAAGTTAGGTTCAAGGCCTATTGGACAGGGAACCAGCCAAAGGTGCCCAAGAGACTGATTTTAAATGTTTTTAGTCTTAAACAATATAAATGATTGTGTTTGCTTGTTGTCTGAGCAAGCTTTTTTTGGATGGGTTGGGAGACCTGAGTTTTCTGCTTGTCAAGATCTGAGAATAGATCATAATATTTCAGGAATTTTTAAGACTATAAGAACTCAGGGACATAGAGTCTGGAAGCGATTTTGAAGGCAGAAATTCAGCTCAACCACATTTTCCTGTCTCAGATACAAAACTCCCTATCTCTGGGTTTTATAACCACCTTCAGGTTTGGAGGTATTAAAAACAGTAGAAAAGAAAGAATAAATCTTTGCGCTAGTCTGTTTCCCTACGTAACTTCAGGTTTAATCTTCTGGTCACACCCCTGGCACAAGGCTTTTAGGCAAGGGCTGGTTGGTTCTGGTGTGGCTTGGGAAATTTCAGTCTCAAGAGATTTTCCCGCATCAGTGCTAATAAAAGAAAAGAGAGGACAGCACATTAGTAGCCTGTGGGCAATAACCACCTGTGGGCAATACCTGCAAGACCCAAGGGGAAGGCCAGTCATGGGGAATGAAGATTGTCCTGTGTGCCAAGGTAGGTTGGACCGTTCCATTCTCTATTGGCTATGTTTGGGCCAGAAATTCTACTTGGGTAAGATGCTCCTGGGGTGGGAACACAGCCTCTGGCTATGGCAAATCTCCCCACCTCTCCCTCTCCTTTTCTTCCTCCCCTTCAAATGAAAGTTTTGAGATTTTATAAAATTTGGCCCTTGCCTTCAGGCTGTGCCTCTTGTTTTCTCTTGTTCAGCTCCTCCCTTCTGGGGTAGTTAAGGGGCAGTTAAAGTGTCTCCTCTGGAGCTGTGCTTGAGAACCACCTCACAAGATAGAGTACCTTGTCTGGGCTCCCCAGGGGTTTTTGTTTGTTTGTTTTTGTCCTGGGGTGGAACTCAGGGCCTTGTGCCTGCTAGGTGAGTGCTCTACCACTGAACCACATCCCATCCCTCCCTAGGGCCTTCGACTCAGTTGGTCTGTGTTGGGGCCAGGTAGATCCTTCCTTCCTTCCTTCCTTCCTTCCTTCCTTCCTTCCTCCCTCCCTCCCTTCCTCCCTCCCTCCCTTCCCTCCCTTCCCTTCCCCTTCTCCTTTTGTTCTTTCTTCTCCTCAGATGATTCTAATCTGTGGCCATACTCAGAAATCACAATGGCCCTGGCCCTGTGGTCCCCAGGACCACCAGCTCACCTCACCTCACATTCCTGGAATATCCTGGGGTTGAGAACAGTCTAAGGCTAGGAACTGGAGTCAGAGAGGCCTGGGCTTAATTAAGTCCAGGCTCGGTGGCTTGCTGATGTGTGGCTTTGGACCCTTTGTCAAGCTGTCTGATTTTCACTTTCCTTTTCAACCTAGAGCGTGATGTGTGAGTGTGTGTGTGTATGTGTGTGTGTGTGGCTGGGTAGTGGTGGTGGCTTAATGACAATACCTTCCTTAACCCAGCAGCTGTGCAGATTAATGAGATAATTCTTGTGACAAGCTCATGGGCACAGGAAGCCCTTGATAAACATTGGTAGTGATGTTTTGGGGGTCACTGCTTTAGGAGCAGAGGGATCAGGGGCTTGTTGGACCTCTGCTGACCTTGGTTTTGGAAGAAGAGACAATGTGCTGGAGACTCCTGAGACTCACTGTTAGCCTGTGGGGGCTGGTCTAGAAGACCGGGCCTGTTCTGCCCTCTCCACTAGGAAGTTAGGGCCATTCTCACGTTTTGGGGTTTGTCATTTCTCTGGTTGCCCAACCTTTTGTCCTTGCTTGACAGGCTCTCATGGCTGCTGATGCCATTTCTCACTCTCACTCTGTTACCAAACTCAGTTTGGAAGATCATCCCACAGCTAAACCCATGTCTGAGAGATGCCGTGAGTGTTGGGAATTAAGAAAAGCTTTATTTAGTGGTCAAAGAATGAGGTGGGAGCCCCTGCTTGCACATCAACTTCTTGACTCCAGGAGATTGAGGGCCTGTAGAAATGGGATGAGAATCATGAGTGAGAAACAGGCTAATAAAGGGGAAGAAGAAACATGTCTTTTCTGTGAAGATGTAGAGATCCTGGAACTTGGGTGCCGCCTCTTTTCACGCTGATCCTGGTCTGGTGTTTCTGGTCATGGTGGCTGGTAAAGATGTCTTGAGCCGTAAACGGGGAGAAGTGAGGACAAGCGAGTGGGGGTTAAATTAACCCTATGTTATAGTTTGGGGCAAAACATTTCTCAGACGATCCATGTGTCTACGTGAGCTGAGTAGAGTCTGACACAAAGCTTAAGGCAGCAAAGGAGACAGACGCAATGGGGAGACAGATATGTCAAGTCTTCTCATCCCCTTCCTGCCACCCGGCAAACTTCTGCAGGCACAAAGAAGGGTCAATGTTTGCAGCAAAAGCAAACTTCAGACCCCGGGAAACTATCCCAGGCAACCATTATCATCACAACCCACTGGTCAGAGGTGTGATCTTGAAGCAAAGCTAGTGGGAGTCTTATAATGTAGTGCCCAGCTGTGTGATTTTTAAGTCAACTAAGAGCAAGTGAAGCTAGTGGGTTTATTTAGTCCCCCCCATTCAGTAACACTCCCACTAAGAAGGAAGCCTGGATGCCCTTCTTCCCACCAGGCTGCTCCCTGCCTCCATTCCTCTAGACTCTTGCAGCTGCAGGCAGAAGGATTTAGAGGACAGCAGAGTGCTTTCTGGCCCAAAGCATTTCCTTTATAACTCAGTGCCACCACTAGGAGAGAAAAGGGGGATGGGGAGGGTAAAGAGCATGGCTTGTGTTGTTCTTGGCGGAGGTAGGAAGATGGAGGCCCCTAAAGGGCAGGTGGAGGAAGAACCAGCCTCCCATTGAATGACTGTGGTGTTTGGGGTCTGTCCTTCTTCTTCCATCCTTGAAGGAAGAGATCATTTCTCTCATTTCCTGATGAGGACACTGGGCTCCAGAGAGGTCTAGTGAGCTCCTTAGCCAGGGCACAGGGGCTACCTGGGAATCTTGTTAGAGGGCCAACTCTGATTCACCAGGTTTGGGTGGCACTTAAGAGTCTGCATTTCCCCCAAGCTCCCAGCTGATGTCAATGCTGCAAAGCTGCAGGTCTGGCAGGGACCCCACCTTAGGAGTCAGGCCCTAAGAAGCAGCTAAAAATTTATCTGTGCTCATCTCTTGTAGTATGCTCCATGGCTCCAAGAGATTCACCTCCCCCTGGGTCGGTCAGAGCCCTTAGAGAAGACCAACTAAAATCCCCTGGACTCCTGCAGTTAGGTAATTCCAGAGTTTTACTCCCATAACTTCCAGGCAGAGAGGGTTTGCTTAGTCATCTCTGATCATAAGAACATGCTATGGCGTTTGGCTATCCAACCATGGCACTGCTGGGGATAGGATTTGAGCAAAGAAATGAGGGCCAACCAGAAGCTAAAAGCACAGAATTTCCAGAATTTGCTATAGCAAGGGAGTTATCCTTGATTACTAGACACTCAGAGGCAGGCAGGGGAGGGCTAAAGACTTATAGTGGGCAAAAGAGAAGCTTCAGGTGTGCCTTGGCAGGAGGCTGTTGGCATGGACAGGGTAAACACAGGGTGACAATGGCCTGCCACAGCATTGTCTGTAGTACTTGGTAAAGTGCAGAGCCCTGGGCTGTGCTCCAGATGTGCTGGACCAGAATCTCAGACATTCCGACACACTCTCAGGGTTCAGGACCCCTGCCACAGTCTTAATACTGGGGCTGTTAGGTTCCCAGGCTAGCTCACACCTGGGAGTTGGCCACCCTAAGCCAGATTTTTCCAAACATTATTTATGTAAAGACTTTCTTGGGGGAGGGGAAAGGAGAAGACAAGGGTGGTGCTTGTTAAAAACTCAGATTCTTAGCCTCACTATAGATCTGTCCCTGGGGGGAAGGGCCTGGGAATCTGCAAAGGATGGACCACTCTCATGGTGGGTCCTAAGATGAAGGAGGTTGCAGGAGGAACCCTAATTGCCTGATCCCAGCTGGGCTCCTGCAGAATGGGGTGGCGTTACCAGCACACCACACCAGGGCTCTCTGGGTGGGTGTTTCTGAGTCAGGGACTGTGCTAGGTCTTCATTCCTGGGGCTTATTCAAGGGGTGGACTGGTTTCCAGTATTCTATCAGCTGGTGTTTTAGTGAAGAAGGCTACAGCATTTGAAGGGTTTGTTTTGTTTTAATCACGGCTTTTATAATTACCTCTCCGTGGGTTGACAGCTGCTATTAGCATCACCTTGGGTTCTCCTTGAGAAATTTTACATCCAGAGAGTGAACCAGCACCTCTGGGGCTGGTGTCAGAAGCCATTAACTAAACAATAGCTTTCAAAAGTCACCAGGTTTTGTAAACACAGCCAATCCTGTCTCCTTCCAAAGGAGAAAAAAAAAAAGGTAGATAAATAATTTTCACGAAGGCAATTTGTTTCCTAGGGTCTATATTTCCTTTCTATCACATCCGCTGGCTTTCACGGCTTTGGGGCACTGGCAATAAAGTCAGTGCTGTCTCCAGAAGGGGTCTGCAGCTGCTCTTGCCAGAGGATTGTCACCTGGTAGCCACTATGTGGGTTCATGGCAATGAGGAGCAGTTTTTTGAAAAAGGTTTTTTTTTTTTTTCCTTTTTTTCTTAATGCTAGGAGCAATTTGGTATGTGTGTATTGGGGTGGGGTGGAGTGGTTGGGATTTGTAGAGGGGACTTTTGTTTACAATTCTCTTAGAAATTTCACTTTTCCATCCAAGCTAGTTTAAGATGGATAGCTGAAATTATAACTGGACAATTTCCAACATGTAAACCTTGGGAAAAAAATGGAGACCCTCCCCCGCCCTCTTGACCAGGAAGGTTTTGATAATTTTTTTCCAGAGCTGTCCTCTGCCTCCTAGAGTCATGTAGATGCTGCTTGCATCGTGTGTGGTGATACTGGCTGACCCAGGGCAGAGAGGCCTGTTCTGCACCTGGTGACACGTCTTTGGAGCTAAATATGGCATGAGCTGTCTGCCTCACTTTTTTTTTTGTTCTTGTCAAAGGTATTGAAAAATACTTTGTTCATAATCTCAAAGGATTTTTTTTTTCAAAAAAAATTATGGAAACAGTGTCAATAATTTTATTTTGAAAATGAGTGTTACATACAAAGAAAAAGGTGTCATTATTATTAACTCTAGCCTTATCCCAGCACTCTCTAGCAGACCTGTTCAGAAACCAAAGTAATTGCCATCCATCTATCTGACTGACAGATGATTCTGAGACTCCATGTGGGGATGAACGAGATTCAGAAGCTTAATTTGTTGTTTTTTTTTTTCCCCCCATTTGGGATATTTGACACATGGACTTGTGATTACAAGCAAAATGTTTTAAAGTCTTTTCATTTTGAAAGACATGAAAACCTTCAAAGAAGGAAGTCAGTTCTCACTGAGTTTGGCAGCTGTTCTTAACTTTCTCTAAGGACCAATGTGCTGGTCTGGAATGAGGGGGAAATGATGCTGAGTTCTTAATCAGAATCTCAAAGGGTAGAGATGGGTGGAGCTAACTCCCCCCCCACCCCAGGAATCCTTTTGATGGAATCAGAAAATTGTGTGTGTGTTTTTTTTTTCTTCCCCTGGGGCAGATCTGTTTGCTATGGGTGGAGATGGGGGGAAAAAGAAGAAAACAAAAGCAAAAGGGGCTAATGGGATTTTGAACTCAGTTTCCCAAGATGGCTCAAAAAGGTGCTTTAGAAAAGACTGGTGTGCTCCATGTCTTGCAGATGGCAGGAGAAAGTGTTATTATCACTGCTGCACAGATGAAGAGACAGGCCCCGAGAAGCCAGGACAGAGAGCAGGGTCTCGGAGGTGTCAGGACTCGGCCCCCTGTGTCCTGTCCCAGTGATTAGCTCTAGCTCCCAAGAGTGAGCCTTGCCTTGACCACACCCTCATCTCTTCCTCTTCCTCCTCTAACACTCCTGTCTGGGTGTTTCTTCCCATTGAGGTTTGTCCAGGAGCATTAACTGGGCCCTGCTTATGCTGTCATTTTTTGTCATTTCAACCAAAACCAGTTGCCGCCTCCTGTGTCAGACATCAAGGGTATCCAGAATGACAGACAGCATTCAGCACCCAGGTGGCCTGATCAGTAGGTGGCCACAGTCACTTGACGAGGGGCCCACAGACCATTGGCGAAGGGACTTTCTGAAATCCATGAGTGTAAACAAGCTGGCAGAGTCCAGGGCCCTCATAAAATTGAATTAGAGGACTGAGTGAATTAACTGTTCGCTCCTCTTCGTGAGCAATGCATCTTTAATTACATTTCATAAAAACGTCTGGATGGATTGATGGAACTTTATTTAAACTTTAGGTAGGCACAGGGAGTAAACGGTAGTGTAATATAACATGTTCTGTTAATATAGGTTCAGAACACATTTACTTTATGGCAGTTCAACAGAATCTTTGATGTGGGGCCACTTAAAAATATATTACCTTCCAAAAGATTTCCTTTGGAAGATAGAGTGGGTGCTTGGCAGCTTGTAGGCAGTCAACCAGATGATCAATTGACAAACATGTCAACACTTACAATTCACTATACTGGCTCCCCTGAGACATGCAAAAACACTGGTTTATTTTAGAAAAAGAATATATTTCTCCAAATCCCTTTCATTCACATTGTAGAATTTATGAGGCAAGTCTTGTCAAACATAAGCTCTTCACAATGAAAGAAAAGTCTCTTTGGTCTGTTTGCCCTGAATTTTCTATCTACATGGATTATTTTAGGTTCTGGATAGGTATGTGACATGACGAAAGAAAATAGATGCTGCTTATAGTAAACAACAGCGCAGACCCAAGCCGCAGAGAGGTTATATTTCATCTTGAGGATTGTATTTATACTTGCAAAAAAACTATTACTGTTCTGCCAGAATATTATATTTGCCTCCCCGCACCCCCATGAATCCTTTTGATGGAATCAGAAAATTGTGTTTTTCTCCTGGGGCAGATCTGTTTGCTAAGTTACTAATGCGTTAGATAAAGGCTGTGCTAAGTACCTCCCTCCTTACAGCTCTGGGGTCCCCAGAGGTATAAAGGAGGAAGGCTGTAATCCCCAGAAAGGAGTTGGCCCAAATAAGGAAACTGGTTTGTGGAGGTTCCTCCTTTATACCCAGTGTTTCTTCTTAGTTTCTAACTCTATGAAGAAAAAGTATAGACTCATGAATCCTTGATGAGTTGGGTGCATTGGCTGGGTTGGGTGCATAAGCAAAGAAAAACTGCCTTCCCTTTTCTCTTGAGTGAAGGAAGTGGATTGGTCTAGCAAGGATAAGGTGGAGAGAGAGAGAGGTAGGGAAGAGTGGCCCAGCTGAGAGGCTGTGGTATTGAGATCATCCCTCACAGCCACCAGCACTTTGCTCTCAGAGGCAGAACCATAGACCTGGATTTGTGGAAAGGCCTCGCCTCCAAACTGAGCTGTTGACACAAGACTATTTTGCTGTGGTGGACTTAATTTCTTTAGTACAAATTCTGTTTCACATGGAACTCAAGCTAGGTGAAGTTAGCATGGTGGCCCAAACCCCACATCTTTGTCCCATCTGCTCCTGGGCCAGCTTAGCACTGCTTTACCTTGAACTTTCTCTCCCAGCCCCAGCTCCTTGGCCTTGGCAACCTTGTCTGTCTGTCCTGGGAGCAGCTGCCTTGGAATGCCCATAGCCTTTGTGCTACTGAGCAACACAATGGTAACACCAACTCATTGTCACTGCTGTCTGGACCTGGTAGTGGCTGGAGCCTCTCATTACATCACACAGAGGGACCTAGGGTAGGAACCTAGCACTGTCCTGGTACATGAAGTTTCTCAGTAAATGAAGAAATCCTCCAGGGGGTAAGGAAGTGTCACAGGCTGCTCCGTGGTTGACAACAGGAACGAAGCTGCTGTCCCCTTGTCTGCTACCTGCAACATGGCAGGGGTGAGTGTTTGCTGCTGCTTACCAGCCTAGGGGGGAGGGTGACAGCAGGTCTCAGGAGCCTTCTGCCATGCACAGGTGTGGAGGGCAGGTAGTTCACTCTAGATCCCTGCAGGGAGTTCTCTTTGATGTTGACCCCTCCATAATTTGACATGATGCCTGGCTCCTGGCTGTCCACTTCCATCTCTTACCAGTTTGGTGGGGGACACTCAAGTCAGCCTGAACTTCTACCACACAGACCTTTAAGGAAGGAGGCCTGGAGGTCAGGTGGCTCTCCTCCCCTCCCCTCCCCTTAGGCTGATCTGGCTCCACTTCATATTCTAGTTCCAGAAATTTCACTTTTTATTGTCCCTGTGGTTTACCCTACACTGTACCCCTGTTCATCCTCTGTGTCTGTTCAGTCCCTGCAGCTGGATTTCTGCCTTGTTTCTTAAGACCTCCAGGAATCCTGTTCTAACTCTTTGCACAGGGCAGGGCACACTTTCTGACCAGTGTTCTCGGAAGCCACTTACCTGTGGGCGAGGTCTCATGGGCCACCCACACTGCCTCCTGCTTGCTCGGCTGGGGGCCCAGCTTGCCCAGGACCCGCCTTTGTTTTGACCTCCTTTGACTGCCCAATCATTTGAGGACAGTGCCCTGATCCAGAGGAGGCAAATTTCCTTAGCTGGTTTCATTTGCAGGCTCTTACCCCACTCCACCCATTGCCTGCAGCCCAGGCAGCTCCCAGGTGTCTACCCAACCGGAGATGTGGCTCCACTGGTCCAGCTGTGGTTTGAGCATTGCTCTGAGATAAGCGTAGCCACACAAGCAGATGTGAAAAAATGTGTACAGACAGTTCCAATAGACGGGTGGGTGTGGCCCTTTTGGTATTTAATCAAGTGTTCTTTAGGTGTCTTTGAAGAGATAAGCTCCATCACCTTGTTCATTAATAAATGGACAAGTCAGGTGAGATCCTGACCCCTGGGGGAGGAAGCTGGAGTCCCTGGCACCCACTGTAACATGTTCTTGAGCCCACGATCTATTTCAACAAGAAAGGATTTGAGATCTATAATTTTCCCAAACTTTAAAATCAGCTTTGCAGCAGAACTGGAAGATTGCCCCTTAGCTGTACCCGTGGGTGAGAATTCTTGTCTTTTGACAACCCACTGAGCCGGCATTGAATCACCCAATTACTGCAAATTCTTTTCTAAATAGAAAGCACTCCACAGCCTCCGGTGGAAACATTCCAAGATCTGCAGCAAATATCTAGCTCATTGGCAGAAGTAGTTTTTGGCATGAAGGACCATTCTTTGCTTTAATTTCAGCTCTAGTGGAAGGTCTACAGATGACTTGGGAATAAATTTGGCCAAGAAGGTTCAGGGGGAGATGGGCATGAGGTGACCCACACCATCTCGTCAGCTGCAGCGCCCACCAGATGTGGAGACTAGGCTGCCTTGTGTGGGAAGCTCGGTTGTGTCCACTTGGTCCAAGAATCATCCCACCAGCTTGTGTAGGGCCGCACGCATGTTTGATACACATTGAGGCCAAGGACAGCATGGCCCTGGCTGGGAGCTGGAAGCTTTGAATTGATAGCATTGAAGCTGAGCTCTGGCAGGAGGGAGGATGGGTGGGGCTGTGTGTTCTAATGCACCAGCCTTCTCATGTCAGGGGCAATTAGCTTCTAAACAAAGCTCTTAATGGAGACTTCGATGCTTTGCCAGCACTCAACCTTACAAAAAACAAAAACCAAAACCAAATCTTTCCCACCAATTATACAACTACTAATGCTGTAGGCAGCTGGGGTGATGGAATAAATTAGGGCAACAAAATTCAAGGTAAAAAGCATAGGTTCTAGGGACATCTATGTCTGTACCAACTGTTGCTTTTTTCCTGGCAAGACACTTGGGGGAACTCCTCCCCACACTTTGGTTCTCTTATCTGTTTAACTGGAGAATGCTATTTATTTTGTTTGCTCTTGTGGGCATTAAATGATTTCAACATTGTCATAGGTTACCAGGTAAAACACCTGGCCTGCTAAGCATGTAATTAATCTATTTCCTCCCTAAATTAAGGCCAGCACTTGAAGGGTTAAAAATGTCATTGTGGGGTTTAAAGTTTTGGTTAATCTTTGAACCCCCAAGGCAAAGCAGGATCTGTGATTGACAATGGCCATTGTATAAACCATCTTCAAAACCTTTCCAAGATACCTCATTTGGAGAGTCTGCCCACCATCTGTGGGGCAGTGTGGATGCATGGCTGTCACATTGTGTCTCTGGGGTGACTGTTGTCAGCATGACAGTCAGGCCACGTCCTTCTGCTGGGGCTGGGTCTCTGGCTGGGGTTTGTCCTGGACGTGGCTGGTGCGGGCTTCTGGCTGCAGCCCATGGCCCAGCACACAGAGCTCTGGGGGTGATGCACACCTGCTGCGGCCACCCTGCGGTTCTGGGGCACAGGGGCTGCTCCAAGTCGCTGCATTCAGCTTGGGGCTGTCCTCACTGCTGCTGTGGAGAGAAGGACAAGAGCAGATCAGATTCCTCCGCTGTTCCTTCTGGCTCCCTCCCCGGCACTGCTCTGTCCCTTCCCATCCTCACACCAGTGGGCCCACCCTTGATGCCAGGCCTCTACCTCTCGGTTGGGCTTGTGGGCCTGCCTGCCTGGTCTGGAATTGGGGAAGCAGCTCCCAGGGCCTCAGCTGACAGGTTGAGTCCTGTTCCTTCCCCTGATGCCCAGGATCCTGCTGCTAGGAACACAGCAACTCCCTCAGGGGCTCTGGAGCTGTGCCTTTGTTTTGTTTTTGAGTCTTGAGCACTCCTTGTTAATAAAGGCCTGGGCTCAGCTAGTGGAATTAAAAACAACAACAATAACAGCAAAGAAAAAGCCTGCTTTGCGCAGCTGCCACCCTTTTCCTGAATGGAATAAAATGGAAACTCCTTGGCCCGCCTTGCCCAGCATTTGGCTAGAGCAGAGCTTCCCAGCTGCTGAGTGACATGGCCAAGGGGGGCTATGCATGGGAAAAGAACCCCACATGGTCTCCAGTCTGTGCATACTTCTGGAGAGCAGAATGGAGGATGTCTCAAAGCATGGAGCAAGCCTAGGTCGAAGGGACCAGCTCCAAAAGTCATACTGGCTATCTATCTGAGGTAGGCTGGCCCAAGGAGTCCTGGTGGAGGTTGGAGTGTGGCTGCCTAGGTTCAAGTCCTGGCTTTTCCACTTACTGACCATGTGTCCTGCAGCTGGTTAATGAATCCCTCTGAGAGAAATTGTAATAATCTCATCAGGCGCTCATGGGTATCAATGTTGGATGTAAAACTCTCAGCATAGAAATGGCACATACGTGTGTAATAAATGGGTAGCTGTCTATGGTGCTACTTTGTAAAATTAATAGGAAGTCACATCTGGAAAGAACTCCAGGGACCACCTTATCATGCTACTCGTGGGCACCTGAGGCTCAGAGAGGTGGGGCCTAGGTCAGAGCTCTCAACTAGTTACTTCAAGACCTGCACAAGACTTCTGGTCCCCACCTACAGACCCGAGGGCCCTTCTCTCTGCCACTGATAGCATGTTCTTGATTTTTCTGTGAGCTTTATAAGGAAGTGTTCTCAGCTCTGCATCTGACACCAAACCAGTGGAGGACAAGTTTGCAACTGGATCTGAACAAGATCAAGAGAGAAGGAGTAGGAAGGGCGTGGATGCAATGGACCCGCATCCTTGGTTTCAGGCAGTGAGAAACCCACTGTGTGCCTTAAAGCAGTCTGCATCTGGCTCCATCACGGTCTTTTCAGGTGTTCAGGGCCCGGCGTGATTTTGCCACCTTACTTACTTCTTTTCTCTGGGGCTGCTTGAGGAATGGGAAGGCATAAGCAGGGTGCACTTCATCCCTGATGAGCCTTTGCTGCCCCCCACCCCCTACCCCTGTCCCTGGGGGTCTGGCAGGAAGAGGAAACACATGCACAGAGGAAAGTCCAGGCCATACCACTCTGGAGGCTGACATGGAGCCTGACAAACAATTTGGTCTAGAACTCTTTTTTAGCCCCATCCAGGTTCTGTGTCTATGAAATTCAGTTCAGGAAACTCATTTCCCTGGTTGTTACCCAGTGGCTGGGATTCTACCTCTTCTTGGCACCGCTAGGAAGGCAGGTTGCCCAACTGCTGCCCCGCTAACCATGGGGCCACCTGAGACAGGGGACTGGGAGGGGGCTGCAGAGAGCTCCTGTCTCATCAGTTCAAGCCAGAAAAAGATGAAAAGTATTGCATTTAGGGGAGAAAGTCTGGACCTTTCTTGAGGTGCACACAGTACCCCATCATTCTGAGACCTAGAGACTGGTATCTCACTAGGAGATTCAGCTCAGGCCTAACAATTAAAGCTCAGCCATTGAAACCTCTGAGAACTGTTCCTGTTCCCCGGGGCCCAAAGGTCAAGAGGATATAGCATGAGGTGACAGGAAGAGAATCAAATCCAAGTACAGGCCAGTTGATCCTGTAAGCCTGCCCAGACAGCCAGACGCAGTGGGCGTGACAGGTCCCTGCAAGCCTCTGCTTGAGAAAGAGCCTGCTCTGAGCAGTCTCTGGCTCTTGGCATCCACTTGTTGCTCAATCTTGGGAAACCATGCCTTGGTCCCTGCTCTTGTTTTCTCACATGCAGAATGGCAGAAAATAAGCTTGTCTTCAACAGAGAGGCAAAGGCTGGCCTGTTTCTGCTAACAGACACCAAATTCATACCTTGGGACAGGATGAGATAGGGGAATGAGCATATTTTCATATGCACAATTTGGAATGGCTTAGAGGTGTGGTCATACCAAGTGACTCTCCATGTGACCTTGAACAGGTTACTTCTTCAGGCTACGCACACACCAAGTATTGATTCAAGACATAAAACAACTTTTAGGCCACCCTGTTCTGGGGAGAAACCTGAGAGAAAGGCATTATTTTCTTCTTGAACAATTTTATGTTCTTCAACAATTTTATAGCTCCTGCTGTTTTTAAATGTTAGTGTTTTTAATTAATGCCATTTTATTGTCCCTGTTCTCTCAAGCTCTTCCCCTGAAGGGCACAGTTTTAAAAATCTAATAACTGAACAAGGAGCTAGTGTGAGGAATAATGCATTAACATTTATAGAGGTTCTTAGATGAAAGCCACTCTGCTGTAGGAAGCTCATTTTAGATTTAAGAGCAATGTTACATTAAGATTCTTGCAAAAATAATCAATATTTCATTTCTTTCAAGTGGCTGGGGGAGTTTATATAACTGTTATAATGTGTAACTTTCTTGAGATAATATCTTTATTTAAAATTGACTGCCGAATACTTTGAAAAAAATTACCATTATGCTGGACAGACTGTGAAGCTGGAAACATGCGTCACTTAGGCAGAAATTAACTGCTGATTTACACAATTGTGGGCAATGCAGCGATAGCAAGGACTGGTGTTGGTTGAACTTTGATCTGATATTAAGATACACTGAGGGAGTTCCTTTTTAACAGTCCTCAGACTGACATTTTCCCCACATATTCTGTGATTTTTTTATGCAAAAGCTATACTGATTCATGTCCCCTTGCAGCTGTGTGCCCAGGCCTGCCTGCAGGCTGGGCCAGTGACATGCAACTCACTTCTCCATGCTGAGAAAGGCACACTTAGAACTCAGTCTGCCAAGGACAGGAACAGCAGCCCTTCACCTGGATTCTGGTGCTTATGTAGGATTTTGTTCTTAATCTACAAGGCTCTGAAGTTGGTGGAGAAGTGGAGTCAGGTGATCAAGGGACTGGGAAACCAGAAATTTATATTCCATACCTCTAGGACAGGCCATTCTGGAGTTGTGCACTGGGGATCCCTGGGGACCCACCAGACACTTTCAAGGGAACTCGTGGGTTAAACCTATCTTTATCTTCACACAAAGATGCTACCTTCCCTTTTCACCCATTCTCTTGGGTGTGTGGTGCTGTCACACATGTCACACACGATGATATGAGATATCACTGCAGATTGGCTACAGAAGCAGAGGCTACAGCAGAGGCTCTTTTCAATTAAAATCTTTGAGTATTTGGTTGTCTTCCTGTTGAGCCAGACACCAAAAGGGTTTGCAAAAATGGAAGACAGTGCTGCCATTCTTCTCATTAAATTTTTTTTTGTGGTTGAACAAAAAAGTGTTTCATGGGAATGTATCATCTGTGTTAACAGAGAATGTGTTTATTTTTTTTAAAAATAATATTTTATCAATTTCTCAGTTTTAACTTTTAATATAGTAAAAATGGGTAGACATAACCCACATATATGAAGGCTCTTTGGGGTTCTCAATATTTTTTCAGAGTTTAAAGGGGTCCTGGGACCAGATAGTTATAGAACCTCCCAGAATCCAACTGCTGGGTCCAGACAAAGTTGCAGGCCATGATGGCAAGTCATTTCATCTGTAAAAAAACAGTTCCCCACCTCCCCCCACAAAAAAAAAACAACAACAAAAAAAAACAGTTTCCCCACCTGTAAAATAAGGGCTGTGAGGTGTAGGCTAACTTGGTTGTTTTAAGATTTTCTCTTCTTTATTTTTTTTAAAATTTTAATACAGCAGAGGCTCTTTTCAATTAAAATCTTTCTCAGGAATCAAAAATATGTAATGTAGTAGATAAAAGCACAGTCCACAGTCTGTTGTGGTCATATCCACTCTTTGAGAGTATTCCTCTTAAACATATTGAGTCTTGAGTCATAAGAAATTCCTTTGTTCTTTTATAGAAAATTAATTTTGTGTCCATAATTAAGTGCAGAACCAGTAAAAATGAATGGTTAGCTAGAAGCCAGGGTCAGGTAAGAATCTGAATACAGCTACATTTTTCAAAAATGAAACATCTATCAGAAGTAAGTTTGTTGTACTAAAGCCAGTATTTAATAAAATGGACATTACCCTAAGTACATGTATGAAGACACGAATGGATTGAAAATACTTTTTGTACAATCAGTGACTTGAAAAATTGTGTTTTATATGGGTAATATGAAATGAATTGCATTCTGCCATCATGTATAACAAATTAGAATAAATAAATAATAAAAAACAAAATGGACAATGTATAAAGTCTAAAAAGAAAAAAAGCACAGTCACTCATGGTGGCGAGGAGACTGAACTCGGACCCCCACACCTCTTTTTCCCATCTGACTCTTGAAGCTAAATTTGAAAACTATTGACCCAGACAATCCGTTGGGCCCACTGCCTCTGCTTTTTCTCCAGGGAAGGGCAGTGACCGAGCTCACTCCTTACCTGCTCTGGTCAAGCTGGGGTTCCCAAGAGGAGCCAGTGGAGCTGGAGCCAGGCAGCTGAATCCAGACACCAGGGTGGCAGGCAGGAGCTGTCCTTTTGACGAAAGGCAGAGGGTTGAGGGCACATAGAGCCATTCTCCTCTGTGAATCTGCCTTCAGTCGAGGCTCCAAGCTGCTTCTCCAGCATCCTGCTGGGGTCCCAAGAGCGCCCCCGGGTTCTGGTGGCAGTGATGTGGAGGTCTGCAGGTGGGCTGTCAAGGATGGTGATTTAGCTTCAAATAGAGAGGAGGAGGCAGGGCAGAATATGGAACATGTGTTCCGGGATGCTTTGGCTGTAGGGGCTTGACTGCCTTCTGAGTCTCTGGTCTCTTTGCATCCGTGAGAGGGGGACCCTGGGGGGGATGGGGAGGGCACAGAGGAAGGGGGGCTTGCTTCCGTGTGCTGAGCAGGACTGGAGACCTTGGGCTGCGCAGGCTGGCTCCCCAGGGGTGGGCTGGGCAGCTTGTGCTGGGGTGGCGGGGAAGTTCGCTTCTTTGTGTTTGGTGGGCTTAGGATCCCAAGGCTTGCTGTTGGGCTGGGAGCTCCAGGGCTAAGTGGTGGACTGGAGGAGCTGAGCACAGTGCTTGGCTGAGCAGGTCCAGGAGATGATGGTAGACCCCGCTGCTTCCTGTCTACTTGGGGTGCCCAGTGTGCCCTGGTGGGAGAGCTCTTCCTGACTACTGGGGGGCTTCTCTCTCGGCTCTGCCTGGAGGCCTCAGGAGAGTGCGGCCCACATGTGAGTCTGGCCAGGCTCGGTTCTGAAGTCCTGCTTTGCCCAGATGTGGGGCTGGTGTGGTGCCAGGGAATTGCCTTCCGGTGGTGCTTGGAGAAGCTTGTGGCCTTCTCTCCCTGGGCTTGACTGTGAGCCCTGCCCTCCGCCTCTGGGTTGGGGCTGGCTGCAGAAGAGAGGTTTGGATCCTGGACAGGCTTCCTGAGATTGCTGCCACTCTTGCTGCTTCCTGGCCCTGTGCTGCACAGCCTGGTGGGGCTGGCAGTGCTCTTGCTGGGCAGCAAGTCAATGGGGCTCATGGAAGCTCTCAGCTTTGGGGAAGCCCACGTTCTTCTGGTAGGGCCAGCCCGTCCCAGCCCTGGTACTGAGGACTCTTCAGGGGAGCTGCCTGTTGACTTTTTGCTTTCTGGATTCTCCAGAGAAGTGAATGATTTATCCATCAGGACTTCCAGAGGTGGTGGAGGGAGGTGCTCTGGGTCCCCCTCTATTTCACAGTAGATATCCTCATTCTTGGATGCTTCTGCTGTAGGCAGAGGGGGAAATATCGGTGCTACAGGTCTCCAGCCTGTGTCCACCTTGAGACATTCTCTGCTTCCTGTCGGAGAAATTTGGGGCTTAGTATACATAGGAGCAAGGCCCCTATAAATGGGAAGTCTGGGAGGCATGATGGGGACTCCCCACTTCCTGAGGCAGGGGCTTGACCCTGAGTTCCTGGAGTCCCCCAGTGTCTTCACACTCTCAGTGGGACTGAAAGTTTCAATGAGTTTCTTGACTGATGTTCTGGTGGGAGAGCCCCTGATGAAGCAGTCCTTGGCCCTAGGAGTCTCGTCCTTCTCACCAGGTGGAATGGCATTTGGCAGCAGCTCGGCTCTCTTCTGCCAGGGCTGTTCGCCCTCAGAGTGGGGACTGCATTTCTGCAAAATGCTCTTGTCCTGACTAGGCAAGATGCTGAAATTCTTGGTAAGGGATGCCTTGAGTTTGCTGATGGTGTTGCTGGGGCTCACCCTGCAGTTGCTGTTGGGCCATATCGCTGCTCCTCTGGACTGCACAATCTGCTCCTTTCTCTGTCCCTGCCTTTTGGCGCCCTGGGCATAAAATGCCTCCAGTCTCTGACTGAGGTCTTTTTGGACCCTTCGCAGCTCCTGGAGGGTGGGGTCCTCCACATGGCTCTTAAGGCACGTCTCGGACTGGGACCTCTGCTGCCTCTCGGGGGTCCTCCTGCTGCCACTGACCGTGCTAGGTCTCCGTGGGACCACAATCCTCCCCTCCTCCTCCTCAGACCAGTCCTGGTGCGCCAAAGGTGCAGGGACAAACTTGATCCTTTCACTGATGGCTTCCTTCATCTTCAGAATCATTTCCTGGGCCTGGGGGCTCCTAAGCTTCCTGGAGTGTGACTGAAACGGGCTTTCCCAGTCTGCAGGTGAAGATCGTGGCCTTGAAGGTGACACGTTTTCCTGCCCTGCACTTGGACTCATGTTGCTAACTTCATCTTCCTCCTCGTCTGGGCTGCTGTTCTCACTTTCACTAAGGGGTGGAACCTCCCCAGACCTGGAGCTTTTAGGAAGCTGTACTTCCACAGGGATCCCAGTCCCCAGGGAGTCACACCAAGCACTCTTGCTTGCCTCTGAAGGCCTGGAGGTCAGAGTTTCTGGGCCAGTGCTGTGGGGGCCTGGGCTCCTTACTTTGCCCTGTGAGGTTGGATGCACTTTTGCAATGGGAGGCCTTGGACAGTCCTGGGGTCGGTCCGAACCCATCCAGAATGCACTTTGCTGCCAGGCACGTCCTGATAGCCGGGCCTCCATCTGGGGTGAGATCCCTGGCTTCAACTCTACAGCCTCCGGGACAAAGTTCCAGCTGGCCTGCTTACCCAGCTTGTCCATAGATTTCACGGACTCATTGTCGGCACCAATGCCACTGTCCTCGGAGCACAAGGGTAGATCCTGCAGCCCAGGGTCTCCATGGCCACTTGCCAGGCTCTCCAGTTGCCTCAGAGCCCTTAGGAGGCGTTCATCCACACTCCTCTTTGTGCTCAGCTGATTTTCCAAGTGGCTTGCTGTGGAGTGGAAATAGCTGCTGGAACTCTCCAGGAAGCTCCCGGTGAGGGCAGCCACCATGCCGTGGAGCACCTGTAGCTTGCTGACCGTGTACTGCAGCAGCTGTTGCAAGAGATCTGGCTGCTCCTGGGGCTCTCCTTTCTTCAATGGCCATGCCAGATCCTCCCTAACTTCCTGGAGGAGCACTTCTCCATCCTTGGAGATCTCCCCAAGGAGCTGGCCCACCTCCTCAAAGCACAGCAACAGGAAACTGAGCATGGGCTGCAGCAGCCCCTGGGTCTGGCTGGCCTGCTGGACCAGGTGCAGGATTGCTTCATACTTGGAGAGGCTGGCGTGCAGGTAGGTGTAAGCATGCTGGTGGGCCTTGACCAGGGGTTCAGGAAAGTCCACTTTGCCTTCTGATTCAGGAGTAGGGAGGATAGTTTGGCTGCAATGGCCCTGTTTGCTTGAGCAATAGCATGTCGGCTTCCTTTCCCACCTGGAGGTCTCCTGTGTAGTACTTTCCATACTCTCTTCCCTGGGAAAGGCTGCCCCTTGTGTCCCATGGGTACCTTTTGTCTGGAACGGAGTGTGGCTTTGTGGTTTGTTCAGCCAGGATGGAGAGGTTCTGGTTTCTGAGATCAGTCCTTCCATATCTCCCATGGGCTGACCATCAGCTGTGGTTTGGGACTTCCTGGAACTCAGCTGCTCCTCTGCTGGCCTCTGTCCCTGGGGCAGGCCCCCCCAAGGGTCATAGCAGGTAGAACACTGAACCAGCAAAGGGATGGAACCTCTTCCACTGAGCCCATGACATCCTGGCAAAATAGCTGTGGGCTTTTTCAAAAACTGAACACCACTTTTTGTCAGGTTGTTCACAATGTCGCTGTGTGAAGGTGTACATCCCATGACTGCAGCTGGCCTTGTACCCACAGCCTTCCAAATTTTCAGAGAATCATCTTGAAGATAGGACCAAAACTAGTCCTTCCAGGCAATTCCAGACCAGATTCCTTTGAAGTTCATGGCAGGAAGTCTTGAACTTGGAGGCAGCTTTCTTTACTTCCTTGGTTGCACCGAAAAGAGGGAGTGGTGCTTATCGTCCTGTTATCCTTCTAAGTTTTGAACCTTCTGTTGTTTAGTGAGCAGCGGGACAATTCTAAAGGACCTCAGTCTCCCGGATTATGGGCCTGTGTTTTGCTCGTGTCCTGACAGATGTAAATGCAAGTGGAGCTTTAAGCCTATTAGGTTAATCATGCCCTAGCCAGTCAGCACTCACTGTGTGTTCTAATATAGAACTTCTCAGCACTTACTATCTTGGGAAGCGGATTATTTTTGCACGTGCTTATGCTTTTAATTCCGTTCAGACGCCTGCCATATGAAACCTAGAGAAATAAGCTTTAATTGCAAAAGGCTCTGGAAGAGACACATTTGTGGAAGGAAAGTGAGGGCTCGCCAATTATAGACGCTGGAAGAGAAGTGACCTTCACGGTTTAATAAGGGCAAACCAGCCGAGTGTGCTCCAACCTGCTGCAGTCAAGAAGATCCCAGAACAGACAGGGACCCCAAAGCTGTACTTTGTTGTCTGTGTGGCTTACAAATCCCCACGACTCTAGTGACAGACAATGTTCCTAAATAATAAGACAGTGAATAAAGAAGACAGAGTTGCTTTCCTGTATGTTAGAAAATCTAGTCAGATAGCAAGAGAGCTATCCTTCCTGCTTTGGAGGAGGAAAGCAGGAAAACTCACCACCAGATGAAGCTCAAAGCCAGTCACTATGGACTACTGGGAAGAGCCTTTTTATTAAACCTTTCTCATAGGAAAACAAGCTAAACCTGGGCACCAGAGAGTTATTTAGTCTCTAGGAGTAGAACTCAAAGGGAAAAGGTTTTTCTTCTCAATGGCATCTTGCCTTTGGACAACAGTGGCAGCTGCCCACTTAAAAGTGACTTTTAAACCTTATTTGTTGTCAGCAAAATCTAGAGCATGGACTTGGCATAGGGAGACATGAGTTTAGATCTTGACTCTGCCTTTGAGTTGAGGGAACTTCTGAAAGCTATTTAACTTTGTGAGGCAGAGATCATCTTTAAGAGGAGGACGATAGCATCTACTTCACTGAGCTCTTGTGGGTATTAAGTCAATCAGTGTTTGGTAAATGCTTGGTCCAGTGCCTGGCACATGCTAGGTACTCAAAAAAAAGAAGACAAAGATGAGAAAAAAAAAAAAGGTGCTCCTTATTCCTTTCCCTCTGGAAGCTGGGCCACTTATAATAATAAGTCGTAAGAAAATTAATTGTTTGTCAAGAACCAAACTCAGGTCCTTTCCTGAATTGTCTGGAAACAATTACTGCTGGGCTTGGAGCCCTCTAAATCTGTTTGGTTGGCTATTCTATGCTGTACAGGGGGGCCCTGGGCTTCGTGCATGGCTTCATCAGGATTTTTCCAAGGCCTCATTTAGTAGTTTCTCTGTTCTTAAGCCCAATGATTGCTAGTACCTGCTGGAGGCTTTTATTAACCATTTCCCATTTTTGAACATCTAGGTCATTACCAATTTTGAGTAGCAAAAATATGGCATTGAGCATCTCTGAGCATCTCTGAGCATCTCCAAGCATCTCCTGGAGTTGCACAGATCGGAGTTGTTATTCTGGTTTTACAGTCATTTTCACTTACTGAGCCCTGCACAACCAGTAATAGTAATCCTGTGTGTGTCAGGATGTTCTAGAAACAGAAAGGACTTAAAGCCACTTCCCGTGCTTCAAGGAAGCTGGAGACTGGCTACTGGGGCTGCGTGTGGAGCCCTGCTGATGCTGATCAAGGGTGATGCCCTAGAGTGCATCATTGATAAAATTCTTGGATCTGTTTATTTGAAGCAGAACTCAGGGGAAACACAAGCTGTGTGAGTGCCTGGGGTGAGCCGTGTCAGGCATCAAGATATTGTTTCATTTGTTACAGCGCCCGGCTGGCTGGTGGACAGAGATGCTATGTTCTGAGATTCTTCTTTCTTCTTAGGGTCTTGCATTGAACACAGTGAAAAGCTCATCTGAAGTATGCTTAATGTAAATTCTTCTCCTCTTGGGATTTGGGCCCTGGCCTGAATTATCTTTGTGAAAACTTCTGATCTAAGTGACTAAAATTATTTCTAAACCAATGATCAAAATCAAAGTATTTGCCTGGAGGATCATCTGTCAGATAGCTTTGTTCATGTTAGACTGCTTTCCTTGACTATTACAAATAATTTAGGAAGCTGTTTATACATTGCCATTCATTTTTCATTAAGACCAACTTTTGTTTTTTTTTTCTCTTTAAAACTGAGATAGTTTCAAATGAAAACAAAAAGCTTTTTTGGGATGTGATTGCAAAATGGTATTACTTTGGAAAACATTTAAACATTCTCCTTATGGTCTATCAATTCCACTTATAAGAATTTACCCAAGAGTGTTAAATGCATATGAAGACAGAGACTGGTACAAGAATAGTAATAGTAATTTGATTCATAATATTCTGAAATTGCAAACAATCTAAATGCCTATAAATAGGGAAAGTATTATTTTTATATAATTATATAATCTAATACTTCCCAGCAACAAAAGAAACAAACTACCGAAACATATAACAACATGGATAAATTTTAAAAGTATTATTATGAGTGAAAGAAGCCAGACATAAGAGTACCTGCTGATCTGGGTGTCATGGTGTATTCCTGTAATCCCAAGTAACTCTGGAGGCATGATGAAGTGGGTAGCAAGTTGGAGGCCAGCCTCAGCAACTTAGAGAGGCCCTAAACAACTTAGTGAGTTCCTGTCTCAAAATAAAAAAGAAAAAGGGCTGGGGATGTGACTCAGTGGTAAAGTGCTCAGGGGTTCAATCCCCAGTACAAAAAAAGAAAAAAGTGTATATTGAAGTACTCCATTTTGGGTCTGGGGATGTGGCTCAAGCGGTAGCGCGCTCACCTGGCATGCGTGCGGCTCGGGTTCAATCCTCAGCACCACATACAAACAGAGATGTTGTGTCCGCCTATAACTAAAAAAAAAAAATAAATATTAAAAAATTCTCTCTCTCTCTCTCACTCTCTCTTTAAAAAAAAAGTGCTCCATTTATATGAAGTTTAAGAACAGACAAAGTAATCTATATAGAATTCAAAAGAGTGGTTATGTCCAGGAAGAACTATTGACTGTTATGGACATGAAGGAATTTCTTAGGGTACTTGAAATTGTTTGTATCTTAATTGGATGGTGGTTAAATGAGGGTATAGAGGTGTAAAAATTCCCTGAGTTGTACAGTTAAGTTGTGCACTTTATGTATATTGTACATTTACCCCAAATTAAAATGTAGTATTTTATGTTTTGCTTTATGCCTAAAAGAGTCTTAGCTATGATGCTGTTAGTCTTGGATAAGGATCCATGTCTTAGTTGTGTATTGTTGCATAACAAATTAGCATAAAATTTTGCAGCTAAAACAACACATATTATTTCACAGTTTTTGTGGGTTAGGAATTTGGGAGCAACTCAGCTGGGTGGTTTGGCAAAGGGTCTTTGTGAGGTTGTAGTCTAGATACCATCCAAGGTTACAGACATCTGAAGGCTTGCCTGGCGCTGGATTATTGGTTCCAAGAGAGCTCATCCACATAGCTGTTGATGGAAAGCCTCAATTCCTGAGTATATTGGCCTTTCCACAAGGCTGCTTGAGTGTCCTTACAACATGGTAATTGGCTTCCCTGAAGCCAATGGTCCAAGAGAAAGCAAGGAGAAGGTCTCTATGTCCTAATCTCAGAAGTCAGGGCTAGGGCTGGGACTCAGCAGTAGTGCACTTGTCTGGCATGTGTGAGGCACTGGGTTCAATTCTCAGTACCAAATATAAATAAATAAAATAAAGGTCTAGCAACAAGTAAAAAAAAATTAAAAGAAAGTCACCTTTACTTTATCCATATTCTTTTAGAAGCCAATCACTAAAAACAATCACACTGAAGAGGAAAATTATGTTCCACCTTCAAAGGTCATTTAAAAAAAATCTAACTGGGCATGGTGGTACACACCTGTTATCCTAACTCAGGAGGCTGAGGCAGGAGGATCACAAGTTCAAAGTGAGCCTCAGCAATTTAGTGATGCCCTAAGCAATTCAGTGGGACACTGTCTCAAATAAAAAGTGCTGGCTGTGTTGCTCAGTGGTTAAGCACCCCTGGATTCAAACCCTGAAACAAAAATAGATCTAGGCATATCATAGGTCAAATCATGGCATCCCAAACATAATTATATACAGTAAACATTAGTTTATAGTGGTGCTAGTTCTTGTCCTTCTGCATGTTAAATAAGTTCCACCTCATTTTGGTCAGCTTTTGGTTACTATGGTCAAAACACCTGATAAGAACAACCCAGAGAGGAAAAGTTTATTTGGGGCTCATGGTTTCAGAGGTTCAGTCCATGGTTGGCCGACTCTGCTTTGGACTTGAGATAGGGCAGAACATCATGGGAGAAAGGCGTGGAATGGCAGAGTAGAGCTCCTTGGTTTATGGAAGCTGGGAAGGAGAAGGGGAGAGGGAGAGGGAGAGGGAGGGGGAGGGGGAGGGAGAGCAAGGAACAAGTCATAGTCCAAGGGTATGTCCTAGTAAGTAAACTATTTCCTCCAGCCATGCCCCACCATTTAAATTATTAAACCATCAAATGAATTAATCCACTGATGATTATATCCCCTAAGATATAATCATTGCCTAAAAGTCCCACCTCTAAACCTTGCTGTAATGGGACCTTGCTTTCAAAACATTTTTAGGGGACATTAAAAGTCCAAATAGCTCTGAACTGATTCACCAACAAAAGATGGTTCCAATGTGGCACCAATTTTGAATTAAGATAAAATGCAATTTAAGCACTGTCTAGAATTATGTATAGATGAAATCATTTAGGTTTTTTTTTTTTTTGGTTAACTTTTTCCCTCAATACAGTTAATATTGAGAGTAATTTGTGTAGTTGGATGCATCAATAATTCATACCTTTATGTTGCCATGTAGTGTTTTCACATGATTGGCTTCTGATCAATAGCTTTACCCTTCTCCTAAGAGAATTTGCCCAACTCGAATGTAATCTAAAATAAAACTGAACCAGTGTGCTTTTAGCACTGATCATCACCTTCAAAATACCCTACTGTTATTATGAGCATTAAATGCAATTTTTTACTGTCTTCATCATTGCTGACATGAAGCAAAATATTGTGTACAACTCCAGTAATAATGGGTAAGGCTAAAAA